GTATACGAAGCGTAAGTAAAACGAGGCTATAGGAAAAACTACATCTAACGACTAATCTCGACTAATCTAGCTAAGTTAGCACTAATGTTCTTAAGGGCACCTAATAGGTTAACGTTCGTAAGGGACCCGCTAGCGGCCCCCTTATAGGCTAGGGCTTTGCTACCGAGGGTTACCTTGTTCTTGTTAGTATAGAAAGTAGAGAGTGTAGATAGGATAACTAGTATCGAGGTTAGCAGGCGAAGCGCAAGCGGAGCGTATAGGTAACCTACGTGTAATTAGGGCGTCTAGGTTAGCCTAGAGGGCTACTAAGGCCTCGTCTAATTCCTTCTCGTAATCGCAACTATCTAGGCCGTACGAGTCGCGCGCTACGCGCGCGGTACGAATGCGTAACAGCAGCGACACTAATAAGCGGGCCGTAAGAGGCATATAGAGGTAGTAACTATCGCGGTAGCGATCGTAGTTACGCTTAGTAGTAGGGTCTATATTGCTACCTATATAAACCTTAGTTAGGTCTACTAAGGCGAGTTAGTTACGAAGCGTAAGCGCGTAGCAAAGGGCGAGAATACGTACCGTTAGCTGTAATATACTTAAAGTAGCGGATATAGCCCTCTAGGACTTTTAGTAGGCGCTATATCGGCGTAGTAGGTATCGAGGGCAGTGCGCCTATAGCGCGCTTACCCGAAATACGTAAAGGAGTAGCTATACTAGTAATGTTCTTTTTAATAGATAATTAAAGAAGAAAAAACTTTTAAGTAATACTAGGGAGGCGCAAGATACGAGTAGGTAGGGCATAGGCGGATAGTATTCGGAGCGCTTAGAAAAAGAAGAAGTTATTAAGCGAACTTCGAATGCTTTAAATACTCGCCTCGCTTTCGGACAGCTTACGTTCTCGCGTAGCTACCGCGTTCTTAGAAATTTAGGCAACCTCTAGTTAGTACTAGAAGTAGCCGCGCTTTAAATCTGTAAGACAAATAGCAACTACAAGACAAATATAACGTATATAGCAACCGCAGTACCGTAGTAGGTACGCGAGAGATACGCATATAAAGCGTAGGGCGTAAGAATAGTATAATTTACTATATTGCCCTATAGCTAGGATAGCTATACCGGAGGAAGGAGATAATTATAAGAACCTAAGTAAGTAAAGTCTCCTATCCTACCTTAGCAATCCTATATAACAATTATATAATGTAATTACGTATACTACGATACTAGACCGCTAGCGTAGAGCCTACTTAGCGCAGGTTCGGAGATGCCCGGCTACTCGTATAGATTTGCTCGGTCGACCGGCTTAGCGGATATACTATCTATACATAGCCTAGTTAATAGTAGATGCTCGGCCCTGTTCTTAGAAAGGCATAGTTTAGTTCTACTTTCTACTACGGCGATTAGTAGAGGGTGTTCTATACGTTGCTATATACCTATTTTCTTATAGTCGTTTAAAAGAGCCCTTAGTACGTTCCGCTAGTTAAGCTTATAGTTACAGATATAGTCGTTGTATTGCTTTCGACTAGAGCTATTAAACACGGTATAGTCCTTAAGTTTAGCATCCTTCTTTTAGACTAGTAGTAAGGAAGGCCCTACTACTAGTTTAGTTATCGGGGCTTCCTAAAGGCGGCGAAGTTCGAGGAGGTCGTCCTTTAGCTATTATTCTTAGCGTAGGGCAGTAAGCCTGTTTTAAGTAGCTTCTTAAAGTCTCCCTACTAGTTAAGGCCTAAAGGCTAGTTAGCTATATCGTCGATTAATAATATTATTAAGAATGTCGTTAATAGGCAATTCTAGATCGTTACCTAGAATTATAGGTTCTTTATTAATAGGCTCTATACTACTAGTGTTATTATTACTAGCGCTGCTAGCGGCGCCGCGGGTATTGTTTCGTAATAAACCGGCTATTATAAGGGGCGATACTAATAATATATTATTAGCCCCTAAGATACAGATATAGCGGAATTAGTAGATATCGGTCCGGTGCGGTTAACTCGGTATAATAGGCCGTATAGAAGGCCTTGCTTAATAATTAGTACGGTTGTTTTAATAGAGTAGTACGTATAGGTCCCGTTCTTCGGGCGTAATATAGTTAGATTAGCGATTTTCGTAGCTATACCGCTAAAAGCTTAAAATAAGGACTATCTAGCTACTACCCTTAAAGGGTAGATCGAATACTATATAAGAAGGGTTATATTAGCAGGTAGATAGGGTAGTAGTAAATTAGTATAGTATTCGATAGAGGTCTAAAAGGAGAGGGAGGAAGGCAGGCTAGTTAGCCTAACGCTAAGCGCTAAGCCCTACCTAAGGCACTAAGACCCTAGCTTTACTCGGCCTAGTTATATACTAATTACGTATAACCTCTTTAGTCCTAACATTATCTTATAACTATTATAAAGTCGAGGATTAAGTATTAACTAGCGTTAATATAGGCTCCTTAACTATTATAGAAATAGGCTCCTTAGCTAGCGTAGAAGCGGCTATATTAATTACTCTATAGCCTTAACTAGCTATTAAGCTATTTAGTAAGGGCATTAGACTATATAGTAATAGTAAAGATTAACTATAATAGTCTCTAAAGGCAGCAATTAGTATATATAGACCTAAGCGAGGGTATAGATTACTCTACGAGAAGTCGAAGGCTAGACTTCTAACTAAGATAGGTAGTAGTACTAGGTAGGGTATATAATAGGGTAACTAGAGTCGCTATAATATCTACTAGAAGGTCTAGTTTGCTTATAAATCTAATAGTCTAGGCATCTATAGTACTCTTAGAAGCCTACTATATACCTCTCTTAAGGGATAGACCTAGTTCTAATTATAATCGCTCCCTACCGAGATCTCTATAGCTATTCCTATAACGGCTCTTAGAGTAATTATATATAGGCCCCTAGACCTATATAACCTTTAGTAGCCGCCTAGCGACCTTTACGTTACGAAAACTTTTTTTCCGATCGCGACGATCCTATCGATAGGATCCTTAGGATCCTTAGGATCGCACGTTAAAGATCTTGTCTAATAGGATCGTTAGGATCGAAATTTCGGGACGGGCCGTCCCGAAATTCGAGGCCGAGGGTCGCAAAGGACGCGGGATAAGTTAGGCTACTACTTAGGCTACTCCCGGCCGGATACTACTACTACTACGAGGTATCTAGAGATATTACGCACTATTATAGGTTAAATTTAGCGGTTTGGTAGGTTTTTTTTAAAAATAAATTTTTTTCGTTGAGGTTTCGTTAAATGCAGCCGATATTTCGTTAAGGTTTCTTTCAAAAGCCGACGCTTAATAAGCAGAACTTCGGAAAAAAAAGTATACTCGAAACACTCGAGATTCTTTTCTAGATTCTAAGATAACTACTAGGTATTAAGACTTCAAAATTTATAATACTCTTATTAGTATATAGAACTTTAAGTTCTATTTTTTAGATTTCTAAAAATAGTAAAGTATAACTTAAAAGCTAAAATACTATATTGCTTACTTCTGTTCCCTAGCTTTAGTTTCGTAGAAAATCTATAAATTTTATATTTTTTTCTAATAATATACTAAAAATAGAGTAACTTTCTACTATATTACTAAGCTATAAACCTACTAGAAAAAAAGATAAATTAGAAGTAAAATGTCTAGAAAACGATTTTCTTTCCTTTATATCTTTTTATCTAGAAGGTTTACGGCTTAGTAATATATAACAAAAATATTCTATTTTTAGTATAGTTCTAGGCAGAAGTCTAACTTTTATAAGTTACCTCTTTATCGTTCTAGGATCGCTTAGGATCGCTTAGGATCGCTCGCGATCGCTAGGATCGATAGGATCGTCGCGATCGGTAAAGAAGTTTCCGTAACGTACCTATCTCCTACTAGACTCTCCGTCTTTATATATATAAGGGGTATATAGTAGCTAGTAGGAGATAGCTACTATACTACTAGAAGACTAAATTTAATAGAAGATAGAGATAGTGTTTAGGCTATTTAGCTAAGAATTTAGTATACTCCTTTACTTAACTACTAGCGGCCTAGCGTAGAGTCTAATTAGCGTATTTTCTATTATTCGAGCGGAGCGATAGATCTAATAGGTACCTAGAGTAACCTAAGCGAGCGAAGCGAGTAAATAGTTATAGAAGGTATCTAGTAGATCTAGCGTAGAGCTCGAGAACAAATTAGATTAGTACTATATAACGTATATATATAATACGATTAGTTAGTAAATAGGTAGTCGTAGTATAGGGAGGCTAAATTTTAAAGATACGCCCGTAAAGTTAAGAGCGCGCTATAATTAGTCTAAAATCGAATCTAGGTTACGTATTAGTACCTTAGGCAAGAATAAGTCTGCTTTATATTACTAATAACTAAAATAGTATAAGTATAGATATAAGCGCTCTATAGGCGCTAATCTAACTTTGTTCTTAAGCTCTACGCCGTCGCTCCGCTCGAATAGAATAAGTACTATAGGGCTTAAACGATACTTTATATAAGTATATATAGGTAATAGGTCGAGACTAAGGTATTACCTATACTTTTATTTACTTAATTCTTTACGTACGGATAACTAGCTAGAGCTTATTTATACAATATTGCATTAGCGCGAGCCACTGCCGCGTACACGGAGCGCAACTGCTAATTAAAACCTACTGCGCAAGGTGCCTATTTCTAGCTCACCTGAGCATCGGCATGACTGCATACGTCTGATCGACCACCGGCTTTCCGGGTTCCCCATCCACCAAGTGTTCCTGCATATGGTTGCTTCGGAATACACTTTACCCTCTGCCACACATCTCATATGATGGCCATCATATTGCCTATAGGTCGCCGTGATGGCCTCCTCCTGGCTGCAATCGAGTTCTTTCTCCTCTGCACTGCCTGTGTCGCTCTTTTCATCATGCTTAATTCGTGGCTTGTGGGTACAGTATTGCTCAAAACATCTATAGCGACAACGCAAAATCCTTACTGGACGGCATGGCACGGCAATGGTCCAGCGTGGAAGTGGGCAGGCCCGAATACAACAGGTGGCTTTTGGTTTGAGAAAACGCAAGATGCTATAGCTACATTGCAGAGCACATTCTTTAATGGAACTTACTACCCTGGCACTCTGCAGTGGATCAATGCATTGGTGAGTCACTTGGGCACTTGAAATAACGATGCTGGAACATTGGACCACTGTGTTCCTTGAGTGGCCTTGGTCGGTGGTTTTCGAACAACATCGTTCTGGTCGGCTTTCAATTTGGGTGCATGCTAACGTCGATTCTGTTGGCTTGCAGATAGACACTGTAGTCGCGTCTACAGAAGGCACTTTCACAACCGGACTGGCAACTTACAACGGAAATATTCCAGGAGCACAAACTACAGCTGCGGAGATACAGAACAACATCCAGAAATACTATTCCCAGATAGAAGCATACTACGGTGGCGAGGACACGATACAGATTTTCGACGCGGCATACGATGATGCGCAGTGGGTTGTGCTCGAGTGGCTGGAAGTGATCAGATTTCTCGCACAATACAATGCCGACACACAGTCAAATCTTGGGCAGTCCAACATTGCCAACTACGCCCACAGAGCACATATCTTCTACAACATTGTGCAAGATAAATTCGACACATCGCAGTGCGATGGCGGCCTGACCTGGAACCCAACTCTCGCGACCTACAAAAATGCAATCACGAACGAGTTGTTTGTTTCATCGTCGATTGCCATGTATTTCTTCTTCCCCGGAGACAGCAACACCGATCCATATCCACATCCTGATTACCAGGCTCAGACAAACAACACCTTGCCTCCACTCCCTTACCTTGCACCGCACGACCCATTGCTACTCCAGCACGCCGAAGAAACTTGGACTTGGATGAAGACACATAACTTTACAAATTCGCAAGGCTTGATTGTTGATGGCTTTCATGTCTCGGATGGCCAAAGTAGTTGCGATGAACGCAACGAAATGGTCTATACGTACAATCAAGGTGTCATGCTCTCAGGTCTTCGGTACTTATGGGAAGCCACAGGGGATACAACATATCTTAACGACGGTTACAACCTCATCGACACTGTCATACGCGCGACCGGCTGGAGTGCGCATGGCTATGCCCAAGCAGGGGAATGGGCAGGCCTCGGAAGAAACGGGATTCTAGAGGACTACTGTGACGCTCCAGCAAATTGCTCGCAAGATAATCTGATTTTCAAGGGAGCATACTTCGAGAGCATGGACATCTTCTGTAACGCTTTACCTACAGCAACCCCGATGGTAGCGGGCATCAGTAAGCTCGCCTCTTCCGACCTCGCAGAACAGCACTACACGAAATGTAGCTCTTACAGTCCATGGGTACAGCATAATGCCTGGGCCGCCTTAAGTACCAGGAACAATTCTGGTGTTTTCGGAGAGTGGTGGGGCGCACCTTTCTACAACAAGACCCAGGCACCTTGGCCTCAATACGCTGAACAAAAACCGCAAGGGAGCTCGGATATTTGGAATGATCCTGAATTATTGAGTCAAAGTCCTTGGAAATGTGAGGGAGTGCAGTATGGATGTGATTGTGATGGGCGAGAGAGGAGAAGAAGAATCAGGAAGAGGCAGAGTACTGGTGAGGATGGACAGGTGAGAGATGTGGCTACGCAAGCGCAGGGCTTATCTGTGGTCAAGGCTGCTGCGGATTGGACATTGTTCAAGAGTAGGAAGTAGTATATACACCAAAGGTCAAAGAGCCATGAAGACCTGGTCATGTCATGCGTCAGATCTTCAAGCGTCAAGGTGATGAGTCACAAAAGGCACAAATTCGGCGGCAGTGAGGCAGAAGTCGGGCAAACAGTACGTACCTGCTGCACTTTTTTTTGTGCAATCTTTCATCATGCCATCCTAAGAACTGTCCTGTGGCGTCGCGACACTTGGCCCCGGATGATCCTCTATCATTATTGTCTCTTGTAGGTCCTGTCGTAGCCTGCACGCACAGCGCCTCAATCAAATACGAGGTTGCGAGTGTAATAAAGGCCGTGACCGCCTGCTTTGCTAGAAGAACAACATGATGGTGATGGGCACCACCTCTTCCATCGTGTCGATGTTGTCGCAAGCATCCAATAATCGCCCAAGCCAAGTCTGGACTCTGAGGGAAAGGCCTGTTGAGACGTATTGTACAAGGCTGAACAGTTTTGTTCCTGGTTGCAACGCAGGCTACGCAGCGAATCATCGGTGACCGGATGCGTCACGAGACACCTCGTGCAGCGGCAGCAGCGCAAGGATGCGAGTACTTAATCTTTCAAATATGCTTAATTCCCGTCTTGGGTGTTGCGATCTCTTACAGTAGCGGTAGTCTAGATCCTTTCTTGTCGTTGTTACTACTACCCCTCAGGAATGCACATCTTTCATCATCAACGCTTCATCAATGCCGCTAGAGATCCACAATGTTTGCGGTACCATTGCTGTTAGCAAGTTTGAGTGCGGCCATCGTTGCTGCAGACAATACATTCGCTGTTCTCGGCATGCAAATCCAGTCTTTCCGTGACTCTACGTGTACGACGAAGGTGGCCTCGCAGGACCTGGACAGTTCGTGCCATTCGACTCAGGAGGGATTCAATAGTTACAGTCTGAGCCACGGAGGAGCAGGACGAAGGAGGGATATATCGGCTAGAGGCGAGGGGCTAGAGATCAATGGAAATGGTACGACCCGTGCGGGAGAATTTGAAAGCCCTTTCAGTGCTGACCGATCTCGCAGAGTGCAACATCGAGTTTTGGGCCAACGAAGGATGCTCGGGTGACGCGTTACTTGCTGCAACACCTCTGGAGATGATGTCGAGCTGTAAGGAGGTGAAGCATTCGGAACATCAGGACATCAAACACAGAGGACTTAGTATGGACGATGCGGCAAGGAGCTGGAAGGTCTCATGTACGAAAGCTTGAGCTGGATGTCATCGGGTACATTACACATACATTGATGCGATCTGGATATCGGTCAGTGTTAACGAATCGGGAAATGATGAATGAGGACGTACTTTAGGGCAGAGAAAGGCAGCGGAGTCGCACCCATCGGTTTAAGCTACTGTTACAATTTGCTTACTTTCGAAGGCTCAGCGCACAAAATGCTTGATGCTTTGCTCTGATGCCAACTCCTCATAGGGGTTGCACTCCTTGATCCATAGTGTTTATGGCGAGCTGGTATGTTGGAAGCTTGTCCACCCAGTGGGCACCGAATGATGTCAAGATGGCCTGCATATCTGCATTGGATGGTGATTTGCCAGACCCTACACGCTGGCGTATCATTGCCTGCATTTCGCGCACTTCATCGAGTCTTGCTCTCTCTTGTGGGGTTGCTGGACGCGGAGACCACGTCTGGAAAGGGGGAATCATTAGTAAAAGCTGTAGAGAGAACGCGACGTGCTTCGACAAAACTAGATGCTGTGAGGGCTACGATCACAACGGTCGCGCAATCACAAGGTTGAGGAACGAAACAACTGAGGGCGGAGGGACAGTGCTGTTCACTTACTGGGCCACCAGCATCGAGTTGTGCACTTATGGCGTATGAGGGAGAGCCTCTTGGAGGATTGAGCAGGACTTCGAGACGAATCTCGTCACGGTCTCTCTGTATGCTCTCTTGCCAAGATGGACCGAAAAGCATCGCCATGTTCTCCGCACTGTCGTTGCCGGTCACGATCAGACGCCGCAGTGGTTTGCTGATCCGCGTTAGAAGGTGCCTTGGTAAGCGAGAATTCTTCACTCACCGTGTGCCTTGTCTCTGAGCTGGAGATAGAGAGCTGGGCAAGACGAGATTCAGCGTCCTTGCCAGTGCTTGGGCTTCCGGGATAGTATGCGCTACAGTGTTGAAATAGGTGTGCGCGTCGACAACTTCTCGTGCCTGCGCAGCACTTGCCGAGGAATTAGAGTCGGAACGGTTGGCCAAGCAGTCGGGCTTCTTGTGTCGCTTCCAGTCCGCTTTCTGACAGTCCCGATTGCAATAGTACGCCTTACCACAAGCGGAGCATCTCTTGGGTGATGTGGAAAAGGTCTTGCGGCAGTGGTGGCACTGGGAGGCATCACCAAGCTGCACTGTGCTCGTGGAGGTAGCGGATGACGACGAGACCTCTGTGGTTTGAGCCGCAGCTCGAGCCTTCTTAGTCTTTGCATCCCGGCCCATCAGGGTCATCATCATGCCAACGAGCCTTGACCATTGTTCGTCGACGATGCCCTTCTCCTGCTGCGTACACAAGCCCACGTTACAAAGCGCCTCCTGAACGCCGTGGTCTCTCAGCTTCAGCTGTATTGCCTCTGCCAGCTCCTGGTCGTCGGTTGCCCAGGTCCAAGGTGCGAAAGCTGGAGCTTCCTGCCTGCCAGTGGGATCGCGACTACCCTTGATGAATGCATCCAGGAGCAAGCTCACGATTGCAGTTGCCTTGTCGGGCAGAGAAGGCAGATTCAGGATTTGCGCCGGTCCCGCGTGCAAGGCGAAGGTGCTGGGTGGGTGGACGGCGATCAGAAGGTCACCGGGTGGCTGTAACGGCACATGACGAGTCCTGCCCCAAAGCGTCAGCTGCGGTAGCGCAGATAATCAGCAAGAGCGAATGGCATGTCGTCTGAGGAGACCCGAATCATCGCTTGATTAGGGGAGAATGCTGTATGCAGTGATCGAAAGAGCAGGCAGAAGACCGACCGGAACACCCAATGGTTGGGCAAGCCTGTTGGAGTAGTTTGTGGGCGTGGAAGGCTGTTGAATTCGCGGACCAGATCTTCCATCATCGGCAAGGTGCACAGTATGCGAGGCGAGGATTGTAGAAGACAAACCAACCTCAGGCACCACTGAGTGGAAGTACAAGAGGTAGAAGACAAAGTTGAAAAAGTGGACCACTTTGCAGGAAGCTACGATGCATCGCATTTTCCTATGCTTGGCATCCGATGACTTTCTACACTCTTGTCCCAGGCCCTCAATCAATCTGCGCATGGCAACATCTTACTAAGTAAGTTGTGCCTTTTTTAGGCAAACGCTTTTTAGTCTCCTAGGGTAAATACTTTAATAAAGATATATCCCGGTACTAATACTATTCTTCTAGCGAAGTAGAAGGCATCTAGAATAACTCGAGGAGCTTACGACGAGAGTTATAGAAGGTATCTAGAGCGAGTATAAAATAACGATTAGAATTCTGCCTTAGGTTATATAGGATACTAGGCGAGGGTTTAATTGTTAAAGGGCGCTCTCTAATAAAATCTAGCTCGGCCTCTAATTAGTAGAAATTAAAAAGAAACGTTACGTACTAAGCTACTATTAGTAGAAATTAAAAACACAAATTACGTACCGACTGCGATAATACAACGACGATAGCAAATACGGCGGCGGCACGCCGTACAATATATAGTAGCGATAGAATATATAGCGGCGATAGAATATACGGCGACGCGATAGTAATACTTTAGAGCTACGCGACAATTCGTACTCTTCGCTAGACCTTATAAGTAAATTCTACTAGCTCCAAGAATATCCTTATATACTCAATTCGACATTCTACAAGTATACAATTACGCTTATCTGCGGGTTGGCCTCATCCCCGGCCCTTCACTCACAGCATCTTTCACGTGCCGAATGTTAAAGTGCACGGCCCGCTGCCAGAGCCGCAAGCGTACCTGTAACCTTATTTTGCTTCGATATTGAGTTGAAGCTTAAATTTTTTTGCTACCACTCTTGATGGGAACACCAACCTCCCAGGGCACCGTGCCAAAGCGCAAAGCAGTCAACGCTGCCGACTTACCGCCTTCGATCCGGTCGAGGCGATTGAAAGACAAGATGGGCTGTGTCGAGGAGACCAAAGTATGTAAATTCATCTACCACTGTCGACCTGTTCAGAGTCTGACATTTTTTTTGAAGCGCAAAGGACGTCCGACTTACCCACGCGCCTCTCTCCTTGGTCTCCCAGCAGAGCTACTCAACCGCATCTATCGCGACGTCCTAGTCGAAGATTTCAAGATCGCAATTATTGAGACAAACAAACCGCAATATCCTGGTCTCGTCGCAGTCTGTCGCAAGACCTACATGGAGTCCCGCCTCATCTTCCTCGAGGAGAACACTTTCAGCGTCTACTGCTATGATTTGAAAAATCCATTGCCGCGCCAGCCGACCTCCCACTGGATCTGCCACCCCACAGCGACCCGATTCGGGGTCTACGAGGGTTCGTTGAATTGGAGGAATCTCATGGAGTGGGTCAAGCTGTGGCATGAGGGGAAGGCTATGAGAGCCCCGAAGCCCAGTCTGCTGAGTGGCGGTAGGTTGATGCCGAAATTGGCGTCGGGGAGTTTTAGTACTGTGGAGGCAATGGGCAAGGTCGAGTGGAGTACGATGGAGCGGGTTCTTGAGGGGGTCAGGATGGCATTGGAGGATGTTGGAGTCGCTTTTGGTTACATGTAGTAAGGCCTCGGAAGGGAGATGTAATGATTGGCGACTCTTGGCTGAGGTGCCTCGAACGGAGCCCCTTTGGCGTTGATGTTATCTAGCAGCTAGGCGTACTCTAGAGATACTGTTGCGCACTCGAGTGCTGGATAGTGTGTGCCCTCAGAGATTCCCGAGTCCACTTGAAGAGGTCGCACGAGTTATTCGCATGCACAATGGGAGCAATTGCTGAGAGGAAAGCCGTGGATCATAAATGTAGACTTCGTTTGTAACTGCATCAGACGTTCAGCATGACACAGAATGAACACAGTTTCTATTGCCCTGAACAGGAACAGCTCACTGAATTGCTACGCCTTTTCAGTCTCCGCGACACTCAGCTTGCTCATCGCATCTTCGGTAGTCCTGCCGACGCTTGCCTCGTGTGCACCAGGGCCTTCAATGCTGCCATCCGGCTTCACTTCGATCGCTCCATTCTCCTTCTTTGCGCCGGGAAACCGCGAGCCAAGGTTTTTCTCCTTCTTCTTTTTCTTCTCGGGAGCAGGTGGCGGAGGGTAAGCTTTCTGCTCGATCTCCTGCCACTCTTTGCTTTGAGCGAAGTCCTTCTGGATTGGCTCAAGAATCTCCAAGAGCGCTTCGGTGACGGCAGGCTTGAGTGACTGAGGTTGCAGTACGTCTGCCAGATAGTCATCGTGCATTTGCTTGATGTTGGCGTATTCGAGTGGCTGTGCGTCGCGACGTGGCACAACAAATTTGGGCGTGCCGTTGTTCTTGAGCGCCGATGCTGGAAGGAGCACATACTCGACAAAGCTGAGAACGCCGTTGCCCTCCACTTGCTTTGGTGGACAGAAGGCTTTCTTCAGCTTCTTCTTGACAACTTCTGGTGGGTCGATCAGGTCGATCTTGGAATCTGGATCGGAGCTAGACATCTTGCCGCCTTCTTGCAGACCAGGAATGAGAGGATTCATCAAGTGCGCGCGCTTCGCAAATCCAACACGAGGTAATGCTTCGACTGCAAGCGTGAAGATCTTCCGCTGATCGACGCCGCCAAACTGTGCATCCACACCAAGGTACTCCTCATCGAGTGCCTGCATGAGTGGGTAGATCTGAGATGAAAGCGGAGGAGCCTCGACTTGCTTGACGACTTCTGAGCCAGCTTTGCTGGCGTCGTGGCCAGAAACAGAAGTGCTGAGTCGAAGCAGATCCATGAAGTACTTGGCCCCGCTCTCGCCCGTCGTCTGGTAAGATGAGCCAAGCACGAACTTCAGCCGCGACACATCAATGTTGACGGCCTTGAGGGCGGCGGTGATGCAGTGTCGGTAGTAGTCGGCGCGGAAGTTGACGAGCTCGATTGGTGCCTTGAGGTTGTCGAGGAAGCCATGCACGTCCGCCAAGAGCACCTTCACTTCGCAGCCGGCAGCCAGGAACTCGGCGATCTTGAGCATAGGAACGAAGTAGCCGCAGTGAGGCTTGCCGGTCGTTGCGGTGCCCCAGTAGATGCGGAGAGGGCGCTCATTCTTCGTCAGAACTTCTTCAATGATTTCGGGATTGAGCACTTCTTGCAGATTGTTCTTGATCAATGCAAACTTCTCGTCGGCGGACTGTGCCAATTGGCCGTCTGCGGTTGCCGCCATGGTGTGCCAGACTCTCTCTCGCCGCGGTGGTGGTGCTGTCGTGACCAGACATGGATTGCTTCAGAGTCATTGAAGTCGAAATGTTTACCTCAAACGCCACACCACACCACAGTGGCTGAAGCGTGGCTGGTGCGAACTTCCCACTTCCCACCCACGCATCCGTGCACACAGTCAGTCTGACACGTCTGCTCTTGCTGCTTGTATACCGTAAGCCCGTGAATACGGCTCTGCATGGCGGGACATATGCTACGTATGGGATCATGACCATATACTCAATACTACGCGACAATGGATAGACCAGACTCTGCGGAGGCCGCTGCTAATGAAGCCCCAATGCCCGTCCAGGACGATGCTGCTATTGAGGAGCCGTCCTCTCCCACTTCTGCGCCGTCGAGCCCGCACGAAAGCACAATAGCGTCCACGCTGCAGTCATTCACCGATCGAGCCCTCCACTTCCTATCACATGCAACTAATGAGACTCTTGGCGCATGTTTAGTTGGTCTGGGAGCGACTACGTATCTGGTCCTGGGACGAGTTGGGCTGGTCATTATTGGCGTCGCGGGCGGCGTAGTATTGCATGCGACATGGGAAGGAGTACGAGCTGACCATCGAGACGAAGCCACGAAGAAGATAGACGAAGAACGGAAGCGCGAAGCAAGTATCGAGGTGGCCAGAAGACTGCTCGAATTGCGGTCGAGCAGGCCACATTCGAGGACTGCAGAGGATACCAGAATATTCGCGAGCCACGCGCTTGACTACTCCTCCTTCGGCCCAGAGACTGCAGCGGCTTTGGATGCGTTTACGACTGCAGTCATTAGGGACTATGTTCATTATTGGTACGATACCACGATTCCCGGCGAACAGAGCTTTCCAGCAACATGTCGAAGAACATTCACCGCATTTGTCCTGTCTCTTTCCGGGCACCTTCAGCGTAAGAGGCCTGCCGATGCTTTTCTCGACTTTGTTATGAACGCCAGCTCTATGATCATCGTGTTTCTACAGGAGCTGGCCGCAGCTTTGAACGCGTCGCCGAATGCGACCGCCGAGGAAGCCATTTCGACATACCTGCTTATGAAGCCTGAAAGTCACCTAGCTCATCTCTTGGACCGAGACTCGCAGGCATTAAAGATGGGAGACAGCGCCGAAGACGTCTTGCAGTCATACCTTGATCCGAAGCACACCAACTGTCCGCCTGTATACGTTTTCTTGAAAGAAGTTTTCGCAAAGCTTGTGCTTGGATATACCGTTGACCATTGTTCCCAACCAGCATGGATCAATGACTGGATCGTGTATGGATTGGAAAAGTCGGAAACCGCAAAAGAAGTCATGGATATTGTTGACGCTGGCATGGAAGGCAGGAAGCAGGTCGACGCGCCAAAGGTGGAACAACAGATAGCTCAAAAGCAGCCTCCAAACGATAGTGGATCTGTAGCGGCGAAAGAGCATAGAAGGAGAATGAGTCGAGCGGAAGAAGCTATGGACGAAGCGATGCAGGAAGCACGAAGATTGACTGAGCTCATGATCGCCGAGGACGAGCGACGTGCGGCCGAAGAGCGTGCAAAAGGCACAGAGACTCCTCCAATCGCGGGAGATAGCTCAGATGCAACGACGCAAGGAGCACCTACTCCCACATCAAGCCAGAGCGACCGCGACCGTCAGACTGACGATACATCATCTATCAGCGAAACTGCAGTGGCTTCAGAGGAACAACTTGCTTCGCCCAGTAAACAATTCACCAGTTTCGATCAGATGTTGCCAAGGACCCAAGCAACCGCGCTGTCGATGGACAGTCCCTCGAAGGAGCAACCGGCAGCGGTCTTGACACTGCACAATGCGAATATCTCCATCTTTGATGATAGTGTGCCTGGCGAAAAGGCGTCGCTCAAAGCGAAGCCAACTACAGATTATATGGTTCAGATCGAACCCGTCTCTTCTGCATTTCCCGGCTGGATGATAGTTCGGAAGTATGCTGACTTTGAGACTCTGCACGAAGTGTTGCGTCGGCTCTCCACTATCACTGGCGTGCCCTTCGCAAATGTGCATCCGGAACTGCCAAAGTGGAGGGTTCATACCAAGGCGTCTTTACGCACCGAACTGGAGCGCTACCTGACTGACGCGGTGCGGTACCAACCATTGGCCGAGAGCGAAGGCATGAAACGATTTCTAGAAAAGGAACAGGGCATGAGCAAATCACCAAATGGTCCAGGCAAGGGCTTTGGCTGGCCGACTCCAGATGCATTTGGCAAGATCGGAGACAACATGTTCAATGCCCTCACAAAGGCACCAAAACAAGTCGGCGGTGGCGTTGCTGCAGGTGGCAAAGCTGTTTTCGGAGGAGTTGCGGGACTCGTGGGAGGCACCAAAAAGGCCAGTCAATCCCAGTCCAATCTTGCTAGATCGATAACCAGCTCGAGTGTCGACAGCAATGGTTCCAGGCACAGGTCAAGCATGCAAAGTGCCGGGCAGTCATTCATGACTGACAGCTATCTTGGATCTATGGAAGGTCCTAGGCAAAGTCAGGACTTGCCCAGATCACCCGCTGCCGAGACATTAGAAAGGCGTGGCAGCTCATTCTCATCCAGGAGTGTCGAATCCCTTAGATCTGCCAGGCTTCCACCTAGCAGCTCTCCAAGTCGTCCGACAAGCGTCATTAGCCATCCCGAGCTCGGGCTCACCTCAGAATCTGTCACCGAGCTTCCAGAAGCTGACGAGGAGCCGGAGGAAAGCATCAGTCTGCCTCCACCACCCTCAGAAATGCCAGCGGATTACGATGCACCTCCTTCTCCAGTCCGGAGGAGCACTGAAGTACTACGAGCGCGAGCTACCGATTTTCCTGCACCACCTGCAGAGGAACCTCCGAAGCTACCCAAGCGACCTGTGAAGACAGAGAGCAAGCCTCCTTTGACTGAGCGCGAGACTTCCACAGCCATTGAGCTGATGTTCGCTGTCATAACACAACTGTACACACTCTCGGGTGCTTGGCAGATTAGGCGGACCTTGCTAGGCGCTGCAAAAGCATACCTGCTTCGACCTGGCAACCCACAGTTGTTGACAATCAGAGACCTCCTTCAGAAATCCATGCTTGATTCAAACCTTTCGGATGCCGGTGTAGCTTATCACGTCTACGAGTTACGGAAGAACACTCTGCCCACTGCCGAAGAGATGGAGATCTGGAAGCGCGACTATCCAGAAAAGACAGACGAACAAAAAGAAGAGCTACGCATCAAAGCCAGGAAGCTGCTCGTCACGAAAGGCATGCCACAAGCCCTCACGAGTGTCATGGGTGCTGCGGCAAGCGGAGAAGCCCTTGGCAAGGTGTTTGACTGCCTGCAGATACCCAGCGTCAGCAGAGGCCTCATCTTTGGATTAATGCTCCAGGCGCTGCGTGTAGTGACACATTAGTGCAGCTGAGACATGCAAGTTTTGCTGCTATCAACAGGACTTTTCTGAGTACCATCGACGCAGATTAGGATATGCTCACACCCGCAGGCGCACTGCTGCCGCTGTCCCGACGTAATGGCGAGGCACTGGGAAATGAGATAAAGAACAACTTACGAATGCTCATCCAGGTGGCGTCCAGACTTCTGTGTTCAACAAAGACATCTCATATCTCAGACAAAGACACTCAGGTGAGTCCGACATCCCTTCCGCGTCTGTCTTTGTAAGTCAAATTGACCTCAGTGCATTGTGGTCATGCGTAATTTACCATGCCATTCCTCACCATAGTGCACAATTTCCTGACTTTTTTCACGACTTGATCTCCTCGACGTTGTCGAATTCCGCTCTCTACGCACTATTGACTAGTGTATTGTCAGCACATAGATACAGTTCGCGCAGGATCTTGAACACGGCATCATCAATAGCACGCATTCGAAGCAGGTCTTCGTTCTTACAAAGCGACAACACTATCCTTCTAGGCACGACAAGAAATAAACACCGACCAACAAAATGCCGCGCCAACTTACCATTACCCCAGCATCCTACAAATCTTCCCTCCTCTCCATTCCTCCCACGCCATTCTCGCCTCTTCTTCCGATCACGCCTCCCGCCTCACCACCAAAATACAACCAAGGCACTGGTTCCCGCGCGGCTAAGCTGAAAGCCAGTGCCGAGCTCCTTCCACCGCCACCAGAAAGTCTTCACTGGCTTTGGCAATGCCACAAGTGTAATCGCGTCTATCAACTCGGCGTCACTCGCCGCTGCCTCGATGATGGCCATTTCTTCTGCGCTGGCACCACTGTCGTCAAGCGAGGCAAAAAAGGTAATGGTGGGAAAAGAGTTGTACGTCACGCAGCTTGCGCGAGCGAGTTTGACTACCAAGGCTGGAAAGCGTGGGGCAACTGGAGAAGAGCTGTGGTAGAGCGTGTGGAAGCTGCTGATGCATTGATGGTCGCCGAGGAGATTTTCGAGAGGGAGATGAATGGAAAATTAATGGTACCCGAAGGGAGATGGTTCCAAGGACGCTGGACTACGAAGCGCGAAGCACGAGACGTAGTAGCTGGAGCACAGAAGAAAGATTGCTGGATGAAATGCGACTACCCCAGCGAATGCAGATGGGGCAAGCAATTCGGGGTTCAAAGCACAACTACTCCCAAAGTTGCCAACGCGACTGTCCCCAGCAGTCCGATCAAGGCAGAGGAAGCAAAGCACGAAATCAAAGCCAAAACGTCATTCGAAGAAATCCTAGGAATCTCCCTCGCCTCCTCAGATATCACCGACGAAACGGCCTCCGCAGCGGTCGACTTCCTCGAACCTCTCAGCCCTACCAGATCCTCAAGCCAGAAAGCCGTGGCGGAAGGCGAAACGAAAAGCGTGAGTATGGATGACCTCTTGGAGAGTGCGAAGCGACGCAAGAGAAGGAGTTCGGGACAGATCCCTTCTCCACTTGGTGCTAATCCTCCGGAGGAAGTGAAGGGAGAGATTCGGATTGGGATGAGTGGGAGTGAGATTCTGCAGAAGGCTTTTGATGACATTGAGTTGGATTTGAAGAAAGGGCTGGGATCTTTGTTGGCGCTCGAGGAGAAGGCGGATGCTTTTGTTAAGGGGTTGAATGTTGGGAAGAAGAGGTGATTTATATAAGGGGGTGGCTGCATTGTGTGTGTGGAGTGCTGTGTGTATGTTGTTTGGCGAGTTCAGAAGCTTGACTGTGCTTATTGCTGTATTCATAAGTCCGCGCCATACGCGGAGATCTCGTAACTTCCGCGTACCCTCGGTTTTTCCGTAGACCCACTCTCTCTATATAAAATAGGAGGCAAACTAGGGTCGGAACGAAAGCCTTTCTTACCTCTGCCTACTTAGGTCCTCTAGTAACGATCCGGATTAAGAACGAGGCCTATTCGGAAGCTATTATCGAGCCGTCGATATACTAAGAGCCTCTAAGCGAGCGTAGAAGCCTTCCTCGAAGAAGAAGGAGGCTCTTGCTACGCAATAACTAGCCGCTAATGTTAATCGAGCTACTAAGAGACTACGCCGAGAGCCGACTGTTAAGATAAGTAAAGGATCTAGCGATATAGACGACGAGTTGCTAGCAACTTAGCTAACCTAGCAACCGGGTGTCGACGATAAGGACAATATATCGGCTAAAGAAGAAGATAAAGCTATAGAATAAGAGCGAGAAGTCTTCGAGTACGTCGTATAGTAGACAATTGCTAATTTAGCTAATCTACGGTTGCTACTATCGAGTAAGTGCTATCCTCGCGAGATTAATAGCGATAGCGACTACTACGAAGAGGTCTACGATTAGTACGCTAACTAGCTTATAACTGGCTCTAACAACGACGACTATAAGTTAGCTAGCTTAGAGATTGTTGCCTTAGCGGACAAGATTAAAGCTAAATACTACTTCCGCAGTACTAGTATATAGAAGGGCAATTTCTAACGTACGTACGACATGCTAGCTTCTTAGCACTTGTAGGGCAAGAAGGGCTTAAGATTAGACTTTAAATTAACTATCGAGCGGCGGAAGACAGCAACCGTAGAAGAGCTAGTGTCTCGTAACCTAAGTAGAGCCTCGTAGGGTCGTCGTAACTATAGAACTAGCACCGTTCGTAACATAGCAACTTAATAACAATTAGACGCTTTGCACGCTAGTTAAGCTAAGGTTAAGGGTTAATCTAATAGCTTAGAAGCTAAAGCCGACGACAATAACACTACCTTAATCGGCTCGTTAACTAACGCTCGCTACGAGTTAGCAAAGCGCTAGCCTTGTAAGAACAGGTACTACCTTAATAAGGGCGGGTTGTATTAGTTTAGCGGTCCGGACAGAGGTAAAGATTACTGCAAGATCTACCCTAACGTTGTAAGCCGCTAGATTAAGGGTATTAAAGAAGGGCGCCTAACTATAGGTAATCTAGGCTCTATACTAGCTTTAAAGATATAGAAGAACCGTAGTAGGCAGCTTGCTAATCTATTTAAGACTCTACGGACTGCTAGACTAGCCGCTAATAGCTCTTTAACCCCTATAGTAATCTATAATTACTATAATAACGGCTAGGCTCCGTAGAAGCGTTCTCGTAGGTCTAGTCCGCTAGCGGCTTCTAGTCTAACAGTTGGACTACTATTAAGTCTAATTCTAGGCTTAATCGCTTCCTATTAATCGCATATAGCGGACATAGAATTAATAGGCTTCTTTAGCTAGTTGCGTAAAGAATTAAGTAGTAGCTAGAGTGAACGGCACGCTAATATATCTAATATTAAGCGTATATTCGCTAAAGAGGGTGACTTCTTACTTAAGCAGCTAAGAAGGGTCAAATTGAAGCGCTAGATCGATGCTAGACTTAAAGAAGGGCAATACGATCGATTTGTTACTACAGTAAAGTGATATATATATACTTAAGTCCGTAAGCAGCGTCTTAGTCGCATTAATAAGTCGTCTAACGGCCTGTTCTATAGTTAGCTATAGAAGCGCTGTTTTAGTACGGAAGCGAGTTCTCGGTTATAGATCGGTAGTTTAATAGCTAAACTTTAGCTTAACTGTTGTCGCTTGTTATTCTACTAATACTACGTATTTTTGTATAGTATAAATTAGAGGTGCATTAGATAGATATAGTCTCGGCTCTCTATACTTGTAAGAATAAAAAATAATGCGTTATAGTATTGCGCTAGTATCGAGTTGAAGTCGTTAAATTTAGCTCTTCAAATCCGGACCCGCAAAGCTAAGCCGAAATTTCGGCTATCTCGGCATAGAGTAAGCGCTAGAAAGTCGCGAACTTCTAATATATTACTAGCGCTATATCTTTATAACAACTGCATATTTTTTAAAACGGATAACGGGAGATTGTTTAGCGGCATCGATAGTATTGTTTCCTACCGAAGAGATAATATAGATGTGTTGTAGTAGTGTTATAGTAATGCCCTGTTAGTCGTTATAGATTCGGGCTTTATAAGCGGGTACTCTCCGGATCGCGACTCGATCGCGCTACGAATATAGCGATATACTAACGGCGCCGATTCAAATAGCCTCGAGGTGCCGCTAGCGATCAAAATAATTCCGAAACCACTAAATTCTAGGCTCTTCTATCGCAATAGCTACCCGTAGCGTATTAGAGGTATGCCGATTAGGTATCTTTATAAATTTAACTAATTTCGAGTAGATTGTAGACAGTTAAGGCGACGAGGAGATTGTTACTATACTACCGCCGAGAGGTATAGAAGGGCATATCGACACTTCTACTATATCGCCTTCGTTAGCTTATTCGAGAAGCTTATCGCCGTAGCTAGCATTGCCTAATCTATAGCATATTGAAGCCATTATAAAGGACTATACTACTAATACTGCGCGTACTATAGTAGAAGAAATAAGACAAGAAATAGAAGACTTAAAGAGCCGTATTGCTAAGCTAGAGATAGTCGTTAGTATAAGCGAGTCTTTGAAAACCTAAGAGTGTTATAATTAGTGTCTCTAACCTGCCTTCTAAAACTACGCTTCTGCGTTATATTATATATCTAACTCGCTTACTACGTGTCTTATAAAGTGTCCGAAGTCTAAGAAGCAATTAGCCTCGTATATGTTCTTCTTAACCTATGCCTTTAACGATAAGAACGATAGCTCAATAGGATTGAAGTCTAGTAAGTACGGCGGCAGCATCTTTAAGTAGACACCTACTTGTCGATATGCCTCTTTTACGCCGTCGGTCCGGTAGACTAACGCGTTATCTATTACTAACACTATACCTAGCTCTATTTGCGGAAGCACTGTATGCCTTAACTAGTGCTTAAACATCAATCCGGTAATAGAGCCTTAATGAATAAGCGTGCCTAGAAGGTATCCGTTAACACTAATTGCAGGTAGAATACTCTACCTCTTCGACCGTATAGTACTACCCTCTTCGTAGACAGGACGGTTAACTAGACCGTAGCCATATTTCCGCTATCTAGTGCGCTTATTTGAGGCACTTTCATCGACAGTAACGATCTTGTCCGCCGACATACCTATTTGCTATATTCTAAAGTTATCGCGCAACTCGCTATTCTGCTCCTACGCGATATAGAAGGCCTTCTTTCTCGTCTACCGGCGGTCCTTTAATACACGCGATATCGTCGGTTAGCTTACGATAACGCCAAATTCGTCGTACAGGTACTAGATTACCTTATCTTGGTATGCGGTCGGTCGATCTATAAGGAACTCGAGGATACGCTATAGTAAGAGCCGGATTAGTTACAGGCGCTAGAAAGAGCCGGAAATACACATATCTTAATATATTGGCAATAGCTTCCGTAGACGGCCTTGCGCGACAAGATCTACCATATAGAACACACTAAACAACTCGTAATTGTTATAGAGCTTGTCGACAGTGCGCCTAGCGATATTTATCAAGTCGGAGATAGCATTATTAGACAGATCACCCTTGTCGAAGAGGCGCTTAAGCTTATTAAGTTAATCGTCTAGTAGGCGCGCCATTAACAACACCTCCGAGGGCTCTATACCATTGAAAATGCGACAACATGGTTTACACGGTGTTTGGACATAGTGGTGGAGATCTACGAATGCCAAGAACACCGGGTTGCTAACTAATTATAGTGACACCTGGTGCTGAGCGGAAACTCGGCTCTCCGACCCCATGGCGCGCACTTATGAATACCACAATACCTTTGCGTGTGTTTTTCTTCCAATGGCGCATCACCTTTACCAGCAATGTTGACCCATTCATATCATGATGCCTCTGTCAGCTTGCTTTCCAGATAGCATGCCACTTTTAGTCTGCTTTGTTTTGGTTTCCTTGGCATCGCCAATCTCGAACCTCAATGGATCCCTGCTCCACCGTAACCGTAACCGTAACCGTAACCGTAACCCGAACCACGAGTCCACGACATTGTATTGTCATCTGGTAATCATTGTGTATCTGGGCCACGCCCGCCTTCATGATGCGTTTCCTCACCTGGCTCTCCAAAGCCGGCGACGCGAATTCGTCAGATCGCGGAGAATATCAGCTGGTTGAGAGGAACATGGCTGTCAATCCCCATCAGTATCCGCTGGCTGGAAGCTCGGGTCATGAAGTGGTGTGCAATACAGACTCTGTGGACGGTCGAGAGCACCCGACCGAAGCCGACAGAAAGGTACTGCGGAAAGTGCCTGACACGCTGCCATGGTCTGCCTTCCTGGTCGCAGTCGTCGAGCTGTGTGAACGATTCACTTACTACGGGCTATCTGGGCCGTTTCAGAACTACATCGAGAACTCCTATCACGATATCAATGGACTTCCAGGAGCCATCGGACTTGGTCAGAGCGGTGCTACTGCACTGACCGACTTCTTCCAATTTTGGTGTTATGTCACTCCTGTGCTTGGTGCCATTGTCGCCGATCAGTACTTGGGAAAGTACTGGACTATATTCTATTCCAGCATCATATACATCATCGGCATTCTGGTCCTGTTCCTGACTTCGCTACCGGCCGCCATCGAGAATGGTGCTGCTTTGGGAGGCTTGATCGTCGCCATGATCGTCATTGGCTTGGGAACTGGCGGAATCAAGAGCAATGTGAGTCCTCTTATCGCCGAGCAGTACCAGAATACGAGGCCCTTCGTCAAGATCTTGAAGAGTGGTGAAAGAGTAATCGTGGATCCGGCCGTCACTATTCAGCGCATCTACATGATCTTTTACATGTGCATCAATTTAGGATCGCTCTCGGCCGTAGCAACGACCACGATGGAAGCACATGCTGGTTTCTGGCCTGCCTACCTACTCTGCTTGCTGGCATTCTTTGTCGGCTTTGGATGCCTGGTTGTTGGCAAGAAGAAATACGTTCTTCGACCACCAAAGGGCTCTGTCATCCCCCACGCCTTCAAAGTCTGTCTGATCGGCCTGCGAAAGCGCAATCTGGATGCTGCCAAGCCCGAGTATTATCAGCAGAGCACTGGAAGACGTGAGATGTTACCGTGGGACAGTCTCTTTGTCGAAGAAGTACGTCGAGCGGTAGTCGCGTGCAAAGTCTTCTTGTTCTTCCCGATTTACTGGTTGGTCTACTCGCAAATGTTGAACAACTTCATCAGTCAAGCGGGACAGATGCAGCTCCATGGTATCCCGAACGATATCATGCAAAATATTGATCCCATCACGATCATCACCTTCATCCCGATTGTCGACACATTTCTCTATCCGGGACTGCGAAGATTCGGCATCGAGTTCAAGCCGATCACCAGGATCACCTGGGGCTTCTTGCTCGGCTCTGGTGCTATGGCGTACGCCGCTGGAGTACAGAAATTGATCTACAGTTCCGGACCATGTTACGAAGCGCCCGGAGCCTGCAAGGCTGGACTTCGGCCAGATGGGAGCTATGCTCCAAACAGCGTTCACGTTGCCGTACAAACTCCAGCTTATCTCTTGATTGGATTGTCTGAGATTTTTGCTTCGATCACTGGTCTGGAATATGCATATACAAAAGCACCGCCCAACCTGAAGTCCTTCATCATGTCTCTATTCCTTCTCACAAGTGCGTTCGGATCAGCTTTGGGAGCCGCTCTGAGTCCGGTTGCTGTCGATCCAAAATTGCTCGGGATGTATATTGGGCTAGCTGTGGCTTGCTTGGTCGCTGGAATTGTCTTCTGGATATTGTTCCGCAAATTGAACGATGCAGAGGATAGCATGAATGAGCTTGAGCAGTATAAGGACAAGGAACTGCCAGCAAGTGAGAGGCAGATGATCGATGGAGACCGCAGTACAGAGAGCAAGGCGTAGTCGGCATATTCCACTTGTTGATGTGACGCGACCTTGGAGATCTCGAACCAATGTATTCTCGCGCACAGAGATGGCCGAGAGCGCTGGAGCTTGGCAGCCGATGCGGAAGTGCAGACATGCGAAGCTCCAAATGTCACTATCCGCTCTCCAAACAGCGCATATAACGCGGGTGTAACAGAGATCATGCAGGTAGCCAAGCGCTTTGCAGAGAGCATCGCTCGGCGAAATTGAGCAGCCAAGTCGTCGTCCGCGACCGCCAATCATTGAGGACGAGGGCAAAGACACCGCCGCCTACTTTTCGAGCCTTTTGAGAAGTGAATTAGCGAGTTTTTGGGATGTCTGAAGGAGGATTGGATTGGCCTTCCACAGACCACATGCGGATCCGAAGATCCATCACCACGGCTGCAAGACAAGTTTGGCTGGGGCGAGGAGTCCTTCCGGACCGATTGCGGCCATGATTGCAACTGCAGCCCTTTGGCATGTCAAGAAGTCCGAGTCTGAACGATGGATGGCAGAGAGAAATGATTGTTGTATACCTGACAACAATGGCCGTGGCAGGGTCGAAGAAGATTGAATTTCTTGTTCCAAACCCCCTCCAGGAGTTTCTTGGTCGTGGCTCATTCATTGTACCATGGTAGCAGTACAGTGCGGAAAAGTAGGAATGGGATGGAGGAAACGGCGGCTGCGAAGGTTTCACCGCGCCAACGCAAGCCCCGCCCCCCGCTCCCGCCCCCCGCCCCCCGCCCTCACGTCTCTTCACACCATCTCCACGACAACCATGTCACGGCATGAACCCCCATGACCCTGTTCCCGCATTGCGCAATACCACCACGACTTCTTAATGCCGCTATACACGCAGGCATATATGCCGTGACTTGATCTCTTCGCCCGTCAAGTCGAACAGTCTCTCTTTACGACGGCACTGCAGACGACATGTCTCGTCTATTTGCAAGCGCACTCGCCCTCTCTCATGTGCAGCAAGTGCCCCTAAAATCAGTACGATATGAGAGCCGTTGTTGGAGGAACTTAGCAAACTGACTGCTGCTGAGCTAGAGCTTAAATGGTCTGTCCTCGTCAGTAAATCCGACGGTCGCTCCAGAAACAGTGCTGCCCGTACAAACGCCAAGCCCTCAATGGGAACCAGATCGATATGACCCATATGTCTGTGAATATCTGGGCCAGAATGGGTGCTGGTTTCCATCCGAGATCCAGGAAGGTCCACCATATATGGGAAGCGAATTTCCGAAAAGGTCCAAGACCTGCATCGTTCCGGCAGGAGGAGATCCTAATGGCGACGATGCTCCCCAGATCCTGGAGGCCTTCAGAGTTTGTGGCAACGATGGCCACATCGTTTTCGAGAATATCACTTATTATATTGGCACTATAATGAACACCACCGGACTTAAAGATGTTGATGTGGAGGTCAAAGGGACTCTGCTCTGGGATACGAACATTCCCTACTGGCTCGCAAACTCGATGCCGATCGGATTTCAGAACCAAACTGCAGCTTGGCACCTCGGTGGCGAGAATCTTCACTTCTACGGCCATGGCTATGGCACTCTGAACGGGAATGGTGATACATGGTACAAATTCAACGATGGCGTCAGTAACCGACACGGCAGACCCCACGCATTGCTCATCACCAATACCAAGAACGCCGTGATCGAAGGCTTGAGATTCATCAAATCGCAAATGTGGACCATGACAGTGGCTCGATCGGAGAAAGTCTTGCTTCAAGACATTTATGTCAATAACTCGGCGCCTGATTCTTCGCCTAGATCAAATGTGAACACAGACGCAGCCGATACTGTCTACGCAAACAACATCACATTCCTCCGCTGGACGACGGATAACGGAGACGATGCCATAAGTCCCAAGCAGAATAGTACCAACATCTACATCGCCAACTGCACATTCGTTAATGGTATGGGTATTGCTGTTGGCAGTATCGGACAATATCCGGGTCAGATCGAGGTCATCGAGAATATCACTGCTGTTGATATTCGATGCATCAACAGTGGCTATGGTGCAAGAATCAAGACGTGGACAGGGGAGACTAAAGGCTATCCACCAAATGGAGGCGGCGGCGGCATCGGTCACGCCAAGAATCTCACGTTCAAGAATTTCGACCTTGACAATGTCAACGTCGCTTGGGCTCTTGCCCAATGCACGAATTACGAAGGCCAGTCAGGTAGTTGCGATACTAGCAAGTTCCAAGTGAGTGCTTTTGAGTGCATGCATCATGAAGCTCAATTCTGACATACGAACCAGATTTCCGATATCCATTGGGGCAATGCGCATGGTTCACTCAAAGGAGACCGTGTGGCAACGCTCCAATGCTCCGCGGCAGCGCCTTGCTACAACATCGAGCTTTTCAATAATAATCTGTGGGCGCTCGATCAGGATGTTCAGGCAACTTCGTATCTTTGCGAGGCAGTTGAAAACACGATCGGTTTCAACTGCACGGGCGCCTGCAATGGACAATGTCCACATGTATGTGCCGCTTGCGCACCAATCGAACGAACTGCCGATGCTGACTTTGGTAGTAGGATTAAATGATCTGATGTATATGCTAATGACCGTAATGCAAGGGAAGTGTAAGGAGTTCACGACTAGAATTGCATGATGTGAAACGACATCTCGGGTGCGGCAAAGCTGCAGCATACCGCTTCCCAGGACGAATCTGCGGACTACCAAAATCAGTCTGCTATGCACTCCCAGGTCGAGTTCATTTGTACGGGACTTTGCAGGACCCGCAATATTTCCAGATGCAGAAATGGATCGTCACAGCACTTCAGTCCTTCGCGAAATGATCGAGCACCTGTGCTCGTCACGTCGATACCGGGTCGTGAGCTTTTTGGAAAGCAGTTATAGAACGCATCAAGGTCTTGAAAGTAGTACCTAGTCCGAGAGTATCTGATATGCATATTCTGCCTTGTATGCCAAAAAGACTACGTTTCGCCCTCAGGGCGCCGAGGCAGTCTTAAGACCGCCAACCATACCTGATCCTTGCCGCTCGTATGTTTACATCTCACGGAAGGAAGCCGATCTGATATCAATTGCTCTGGCAGTTTCAAGCTGAGATGTGCGCTCTCGGCTGATACGTTTGACAGCGATGCCGAAGATCTGAAGTTGCCTTTCTCCGAGACTGCATGAGGGTGTGATGTCGGAGCCATGTTTTAAGGCGTTCGTCGTTGGATGATGTTGGGTCAGGATCGTGAGATTGTTGTGTGGCGCGCAATTCCTCTCCTTCTCGAACGATGTTACAGTGCTAGTGAAGAAGATGTCCTTTTAAATGCCCAGTTGGCTGCGCGTGCTAGCAGCGGGCGGGTGAAGTTCGGCGACAAGTGAATGTACGCTACCCGCATTGACCTGTCACTTCTTTGCGCATGGACCAGCACCTGCAGCCCACGTATTTAAAGTCGCCTTTTGGAAATTCTTCTTTCTTGTTCTTCTTCCCACCCCATCTCGCCAGCATCACAATCACAACACTTCACACCACTTACCATCATGCTGTGCCAAATGTCCGCCCACCAGCCACGGCACACCTCATCGCTCGGTCAGCAGCATGTCGTTCGGTCAACTGCGCTTTCGCCTCGAGACGTACATCAGTTCCCCTTGCGACCCGGCAAGGCATTGCTCTGAGTACGCGACTCTCGAGATCACGTCCGCAGTCCTGCAAACCGCTTGCTGGCGCTGGAGAGATGCGAGGTACAACATCCGGAGGTTTCCTCTGCCTTGTCCAACCTGCGCTTACGCTGGAGAGATGCGAGGTACAACCTTCTTGGTGTTTCCTTTGCCTTGTCCAACCAGCCCTGACCCTTCATCAACCCGCATCGCTGGATAGAGTTGGTTCGCCTGGGAATGTTCTGTAGCTCTTGAAGATCGGGCCGAAGCAGCAGAGAGATGCCATTGGTCCTGAATACCAGTGTATGAAGCCTTCCTGAGATTTTGGCAGGCCGTGAGGGCGGCCTGCTCTATCATGCTAACATTCGCAGGCCATCAGACCTTCGGCATTCATGCTGGGATCTGGAGGCCACAATCAATCCTCGAGTCTGATCCACTAAACGCCACGATCAAACTCTTGCATCGATCCCAGGGGCAGGTGCCGAGCCATGCGCCTGATTCATGCTACGAATCCAGCCTTCGTGGACTTGCTCATCACCTTCTGTCACGCCTCCCAACGTCTGTGGTAGAGCGCGTGACCCTTAAACTTCGACCACTTGTAGCTATCGCAGGATGTGACATATACACTCCCCGTGTCGTCATGAAGCGCCCATCGGCTCCATGACGGAGAGGACTGTGGTTGAGCGGTCTGTGGAACTGGTTTGATAGCCAATTGGGCCGTGGATGGGGCATCTCGTGTGCCTTTCATTTGGGTCGTAGTAAAATGGCCCAGCAAACGAGCGTACTGGCAAGGTATCCGCCATAGCCACAAAGCCAGTCTGCGTGCGATTCCGCAACCATGCAGCCTTTTCTTCGAGCCGTCCAGGCGTCCTAGTAGCACTGCCAAAGGCACAGGCAACGTGCATGGCGTGATATGCTTGAAACTCTGTACAATTCGTCACCATTCGAGCTCCGCAGGCTGAGGAGAGGGTCACAGCTGTTGTTAGACGGCGGAAACGTGCTTCGATGCAGAGCTTCCTTCCGACATGACGAGGCTTTCTTGGTTCGATACCCCCAATCCATGCTTCTTTGCCAGTGAGGTAGTCCTGTGCTGCGAGGATTACCATGTCTTCTGCCGTGAGTGTAAGCTCAAATATTGGTCCTGATGGCATTGGAAAATGTGTCGGCTGTGAGGCTTGTGTTGCCTCTGCAATTTCTGAGAAAGTGGGTAGCTCGATATCAGGTTCGTAATGAGCAAAGATTAAAGCTTGGCCGATGACCTCGCAGGCTTCAGTAGGTTTGCAATGTCGTAAGACTACGTAGACCTGTGCGACACGCTCAGCAGCTGCTTGCCACGCGGCCCAGGGATATAGGTAATCTCCAGGTCGTGCACCATTGCAAGCTATGCCGGCAATCTCTTGGTTAGCGAATAGACGCTGAGGCAATCGATCCTGGAAAAAGTCATTAAAAGGTCTAGAATCGGAGTGAGCATTTTCCAGCATGCAAAGCATGTCTGTTGCCTCTTCTGAATGATCGTCTCGAACTTGGTGATATGCCACAGCCAGCTCGCCATTTTGGCCGCTTTCTATGCATGCGAAAGAGTATGAATACTCCTTTTTCAAATCTGAATTTTCACCAACAGTTTCTTCCATCCTGCTTGACTGCAGCGAACGCCTAGAGCTTACACCAGAGCGCACCTGAGGAAGCGATGAGGTGATCTCCAAAGCTGTTAGCACGCCGTATTGTACCATTTCACCAAGACTTTCAAAGTCTTGGAATGATGGATTCGGGTCTTGCTCGTCCTTTCTGATATGTTTGATGGCCTGGACCAGTACGTCGAAGTTCGATTTATCGTAATTTGGCTTGAGACGTGGCTGGCCTGGTCCCCAATTGATCATTGCATTAAGCGCGTAGACACGATCACGAGCATGCCGACATTCTAGGTTCTTCATCTTATTGAGGATGTTGCCAAAAGGCCGCTTCGTTTCAGCACTTGTCGTGAAAGCGTTGCTCATAGCGCCCTCATCATAGCGGGCCCAAGAAGCCTCAATGCTGTAGCGCCAATCCCGTGGCAAAGGATGTTCCAGCAGCTCTTCAAATGCTGCCTCAAATTGCATAAGGAAGACCATGTCAAAAGTATAGCGCCCACAATGAACCTGGATGTTCTCTCCCATACAGATCTCCTGCACGATCCACATGCGGCCCCAGTACGAGCGATGGGCCAGGTTCGCGAACGCCTCGCACATGGCGACGATGTCGTCTTCACCCCTAGACAATAGCCACTCCGTAGCGATCGCGTTGCCGGCTTCACAAGCAGGCAGCTCGCAGTGTTGGTCAGGTCTACGTATTGCGAAGCTATAGCTTCTAGCTTCGTCCAAAGCTGAGCATGCTTCGAGGAGCATCTCGATATCATCCTCTGCAGGACCTATACATGCATATACCAGTGATGCTGCGCGGTAAATGTCCGCCATCATTTCCACTTGCGCGCTCTTTTCCTCCAAGTCTTCCTGGTTGATACAGATCGAGTCCATCCAAATGTACCATTCCAGGTCGTCTCGACATGTCTGCTGGAGTGCTTCACGAGCATTGCTACGGACGTCGAAGTATTTTTCGTTGATCACAATTTTATGCCGTTCGCTATCTGGGCCCCAGGCGTAAGAGATGGCAGTGTATGGTGGCAGATCATCGATCGGGTGCTCCGCCAGTTCGAATACCAGAACATCTGCATCATGTCTTGACCTTGCTCGCAGAAGCCGAATGTACTTCGCAGCATGGGGCAACGGAGTATGAGTGAATTGCTCGGCTGGTAGGGATAGGGAAATGGTACACGTCTCTCCTTGCTCTTGTGCGCATCTATAATGCTCGTGCAGGCAGTGAGGATCCCTACACATTGTCATCTTACTCTATTGCTGAAGCGGACGTCTGAGCGCGGCTGAAGACGTGGAGCGATGCATCGAGAACGAGCAGGAGTCGACGCTGGTCGACGACTGCTAGCCGGTATCTTCGATCGATCTTTCCTCAGTTGATTAGACTTTTGATAGCGCGTGTCTGTCGCGATGGACAAGGGTGTCACGGCCCCGCCCCCAAGTCCAGCCCCGCACTCCCGCTGCAGGAACAAGTCAGGCCGTGCAGCGCAGTACAACTCTCATGCGCATGCGACCTTGAACGAGATGAGATGCGAGTCTCGTGACTGGTCGGACAACGAACGTAGCCAGCGTGACTAGGGATATGAGTCGGACGTCCTTGCAACAACATCTCCTATACTCCCACTCCACCTCCGTCGTCTCATTGTAGCCTCTTACGAACAACAACAACCCCTCACCCAGCGCACTCCATTCCATCCTGCTTGCCCTGACCGAGCTCCATCACGATGCTGCAAGCGCTGCAGTATGCGCCGTGGACCTCCGACATCGAGCTCGCCTTCTACTCGGCCTTGGCATCGCTGAAGATCAATCATGACAAGCTCGACTCGTCCGCGCGTAAGGTGCGCGGCCTCTACGAGATCAACCACAAGGATGCTCCAGAACGATCGATGCGCATGCAGATTCACGGCACTGCGCTGACCACAGATGAGTAAGTAGGAGTAGACATTGTTTCCTGCTCATCCATCTCTTTGTGTATTGACTCGCGCCTGCTCAGAACACCACAGAATTACTACCGCGCAGAGGGAACGATCAAGAACTTCAACACCATCGAGGAGTTCAGGCAGGTCGACAAGAGCGCGCATATCGAGAAGGCGGGGCGTATGATATGGGACGCCATATGCGACGGCACCATCTACTCGTGTCCCTCCTTGCTTGCCCACTTCTCCGCCGTCTGCTATGCAGACCTCAAGAAGTACAAGTTCACCTACCACTTTGCCTACCCCGCAGTACATTCAGATCCACCATGGAGGTTGCTTGCGCCGTACAACAACCCGGACGCGGCTATCAAGAAGCTGGAAAGCAAAGAAACGACATTACTCGTGGATGCTGTGCAGACTTGGAGATACGGCGTCGATGCACGTCAGCACGGCTTCTTCCTTGCGAAGAGGTTGCGAAAGGAGGTGCTGGAGGCAGAATGGAAGAAGGCACCTTTCATGGGTGAGATTGAGGAAGAAGAGGAGGACGGCAATCTGTGCTCCAAGAACAAGCCGAAGCAGACCCGCTCATCCAGTCTCAGTGAGCTGGGCTTCCTCTGGTGGGTAGGCTCGCTTTCTAGCTACGAGACAGGCTTCTTCGACAATGCGCGACCCGAAGATCGGTTCGTGTGCTTTGCCGATCCTTCAACCTTTCCTTCAAATCCTGGCTGGATGCTGCGGAATCTGCTGGTGCTTGTACGGCAGCGATGGCATTTGGACAGCGTACAGGTCATCTGTTATCGGGACACGCATATCCGAAGAGACACTCCAACTTCTCTGGTCATGCAATTGCAGTCAGCGGAGCCAGTGTACGACTTTTCGGCACAGACTGCACTCGAAGACACGGTCAAGATGAGCGAATCAGCTGCTCTTACCCCCGGGCAAGTGGACGCTTTTGGTGAGCTCATAATACCTAAAGCCCCTGAACAGAAGAAGGACTTGCCCATACGGCCGCCACCTGCGAAAGCATTACAATTTCCAAAAGTCACGGGGTGGGAAAGAGGCGAGCAGAACAAGGTCACATCAAGAACAGTCGACCTGGCTGCATATATGGATCCATCTAGACTTGCCGACCAAGCCGTGGATCTCAATTTGAAGCTCATCAAGTGGCGGATATCACCTTCAATAGATCTCGACACAATCAAGAACACCAAGTGCCTTCTTCTGGGAGCTGGTACACTGGGCGCATACGTGGCGCGAAACCTGATGGGCTGGGGCGTGCGAAAGATCACGTTTGTCGACAACGGTCGCGTCAGCTACTCCAATCCCGTGCGGCAACCTCTATACGACTTCAAGGACTGCCAGAATGGGGGAGTATGGAAAGCGCAGCGAGCGGCAGACGTTTTGTCAGAAATCTATCCTGGCGTCGACTCGGAAGGCGTAGTGATCAACGTCCCTATGGCTGGTCATCCAATTGTGGGAGACGAATCGAAGATCGAGCGGCAATATGAGCACTTGAAGCGACTGATCAATGCACATGATGCAATATTTCTGCTCATGGACAGCAGAGAGTCAAGATGGCTACCGACAGTCATGGGCAAGGCAACCGGCAAGATCGTCATCAACGCAGCGCTCGGCTTCGACACTTATATGGTAATGCGACATGGCATGCGAGCGCCGGTGCCTGCACGGCCACGATCGCAAGAGACACGAGAGGCAAGCATCGTGGTGCACCCTAAGGATGAAAAGGACCCCTTGAAGCGAGCTGCCGAGATGCCTATACCGAACGGTGATGGCACAAAGACCGAGCCGGAAGAGCTCAGCTGCTATTTCTGCTCAGATGTCGTCGCACCTGCAGATAGTCAGAAGTCAGCGACGCTGGATCAGCAATGTACGGTCACAAGACCTGGCGCTGCACCCATCGCATCTGCATTGGCGGTAGAGATGCTGGTCTCAATAACGCAGCATAAATTGAAAGGCCGCGCCCCTGCACCACAGCCGCCAACATCAACAGCAATCGCTCCCGCCCCGCCAACAGATCCGACGGTGCCCAACTCACATCCTCTTGGCACTGTTCCACATCAACTGCGCGGTTACATGTCGACATGGCAGACACTGCAGATCAAGGGTAGAGCATATGACTGCTGTTCTGCTTGCTCGCCGAAAGTGCTGCACGCATATGAACGTGATGGGTGGGACTTTGTCAGGAAGGCACTCAATGAAAAGGGCTTCGTGGAGGAGATATCAGGTCTGGCAGAAGTGCAAAGACAAGCTGAAGCTGCCGCACAAGCGATGCAAGATGAGGAAGGTGACTGGCCTGATGAAGATGAAGAAGGCGAGCTGATATGATATGATGGGAGCGGTACATCAATAGTAGACCCCCAGTCCACTCCATGCAAAGCATCCGAGAGCTGTATCCGGCTAGGCATCTGCTTCCAAGCAAGCACACCGGTCTCCATCATTCACGTCTCCTCTTCCTCGTTGCGCCATTCTCTATTCAGAACTCGCCGCATTCACTGCAGCTTCCATCCTCGTACTATTGCTCACGCCTCTCGAGCCTCTCAATCCTCGCTTGCTCCATCGCCTCAATATCATGATCATCTTCACCCATATCAATCCAACCTCCATCTACGGGCCTGTATTCAATCCGAAACACATTCTCCACGACCCCATAACCCTCCAATCCCAACTCCGCGAACACTTTCGACTTATTCAAAACAAAACCTAATGCGAAGCTCGATACCATTAGTTTCGATTTCGCGTCCTCCCGATAATAACATTGCGTTAATTGCCATTCTTGGGGAGAACAAGTTCACCGCAATATCTAGGACGCTGGAAGCCTGCAATTTCAGCAAGATTCTTTTGATTTGGGATGCGGGCTTCTTTGCCACTGTGATCGAGGAAAAAGCTCTTGAGTCGTTTGATTTCCGGTAGTGTGGAGAATTTCTGACATCTGTATGCTGTTTCGATGATGAAAGTCTTCGTACTGAGTGCAGCTTCGTTTCGGATTTGGCGACATAGGAGGAGCTAGTTGATGTTGGCTTTGGGAGGGCCACTGTGGGCGCGCGTGTGCTGGGCTAGGAGATGGTCTATGGAGTCTCTCGTCTTGCGAGTTTGATCTGGCCGCTTTCTTCGCGGCTTCGTGAGTGGGACTTTGTGATTCGTGCTCCGAGGACGAGGTGGTAGATCTTGTCTCTTAGCTCGCGCGGTAGAGTGGGTGACTTGCATACCACGGGAGCACTGTCGAATTCAAGGTGAAGTGGAAGTGGAAATGGAGGCGGAAGTGAAAAATGACGCCAGCAGAGAGAGCAGGAGCGTGAACACAATAACTGATAAATTTCTCAGAGAAAAAGAAAAAGCCATGATCGCCTCCCACGACAGCATCCCAGCCGTACAAGGTCCGTTCATGGCATTGCTGCCATCGACTTTCTTCTATTCTAGTGCACCTGCTGCTCATTCGACTCTCGAGAGAACAAAGAAAAATGACCGCGCAAACCCACCACGCATACGTTCCAGGCTACAAGCCCGAGCACATCAGACCTCACGCATTGGCGGACAGTGGAGAACAGTGCAGCCTACTTATCTCCTGCCCAAAATACAAGAAATCTCAAGCAAGAAACCCGACATAAAGCGACTCGATTGCGGCGCAGGACCAGGCCTACTCTCAGCATCCTTGGCCAAACTCATCCCCCAAGGAACAGTCGTTGCAATAGACTTGTCCGAAGAAATAATCCGCAGAGCCAAAAATTTTCGCCTCGTCAGAAGGAATTTCCAATATGAAATTCCAGGCCGCAAGTATTTACGAGTTGCCTTTTGACGACAACACGTTCGAGATGGTGCACGCACATCAAGTCCTCCTCCACCTGGACGAACCATCAGCGGCTCTCAAAAAAAAATGCCGAGAGTTTGCAAGCCAGGCGGCATTGTCGCTAGTCGCGATTTCACAGGTTCGACAACCTACGATCCCCCAAGTCAGACTTGATCGAGGAATATCTAAAGTTGAGCAAAGCCGTCGCGAAATCTTCTGGTCGACTCGAGGGTTTGGGTGTGAGACTCGTATCTCTTGCGATGGAAGCTGGGGTCCCTCGCGCACATATTCAGGCCTCGATGAGTAGTTGGTGTTACTCGACTCCAGAAGAACGAGATATGTGGGGAGGCAGTACGCGAGATCGGTTGAGGTCGGGCGGTATTCGAGAGACTGTGCTTGAGCGGAAACTTGGATGGACGGAGAAGGATATGGATGATATGGCGGATGCTTGGCAGGAGTGGATTAAAGCAGAGGATGGCGTTTGGGGTCTTATGAATGGCGAGGTGATTATCACGAAACCTTGATGTTTTAAGCGTGGGAAGCTTTGATTCTTCTGGTGCCATCGTAGACTATTCCGTCAAGACGACATGCTCAGGAAAACACACTTCTCCTTTCTGCATCACTCGTGCTTTTGTCCAGGGTTCAATCATCCAAGCAGCTTGATGCACATCGAGTGTGGGCAGATCATAGCGCTCAACAAACTGCATCACGGCGTTCTAGTCGCAGAAGTCACGCTTCTCGATCCTCTTTCGGGACTGCTGATCCCAAGGGGGAACAAAGAACTTGAGCTCCTTGATCATACCCGCTTGATGCGCACCGATTGCGCCGACATATGATTTAAGCAGCCGTTGCGTGGGTTCATCGGGTCTCAACATGGAAAATCCTTGAGAGCTGATAAAGTAAAAGCCCAGTGTGGTGCTGTAGTAGATCGAAAGCGCTTCAGATGGTACCTTCCTGCTTACAGGTAGTAGAGCAGGGCGGCGGCCAGAGACTGAACGGTATTGCAGCCATTTGGCATCGTAGGGCTTGAAGCGTGGGTGCGTGGTGGCTTCCATAGTCAGAGCCAGTTCGTAGATAGCATTACGAAGCTCGGCGGACAAGGAGAAGAACCAGACGCGTGATTTCGTGCGGCGATGCTCAGGCTTCTTCAAATATCAGCTTCAATCCATCATAGCTAGAACACGAGTAGCACTCACTGGTCCAGCAGCCCTTGCTTGCAGTCTGCTTCGAGCTTACCGAGCAGCTGCTCCATCGTTCGCGTCTTCGTCCAGGGTTATGCGATTCGAAGTTTCTGCACAGCATGTTGCCGAATGTCGCGTACCGCTTCGAGAGCGGACTTGGGAAGCCGGTCTAACATGAGAGCGTGTACGGTCGCTGACCGTTGTCGCGAAGAGTCGAGTCGAAGAAATTTCAAAGTAGAAATACTTCTGCTTGAGGAGCTTGGGCGCGCTCGAAAGCAAAGCTCGGATATCATGGGAAGTATGAAGTCTGCATCTTTCGCAAGCTCGCCCGCCTCCTGAGAAAGCAGCAACAAAGGGCACGTCATCCGAGAGGAACCCGGTGCTGAAACAGTGGTCATGCCAAAAGTCTTTTCCTCGATAATGTGCTTCGATCGGTCACAAGCCATGAATGAAGTCTAGATTCGACCCTTCGGATCCCAGCCGACCAATGACACTCTGGTTGCCACCAGTAAAGTGGCGCCTGTGAAGAAGCTGATTCCTCCCCATAGCTGTGCTCCTAGATAGTTTCCTCCCATCTGCTGCACAATTGCTCCAGCAAGGGGTGGTCCTGTAAGACTCGCAAAGCTGACGACAGTGAATGCCATGCCCATCCTCACTCCCGCCTTCTTCAGGTCCGGTACTTTGTTCAGACTGCCTATCACAGCCGGCCAAAGAGCCTGTATGCAGGCAGACCCAGATCCGTAGATGGCTGCAAACACGAAGAGGCCGGCTTCCGAATGGATTCCGATCCAGCCGAACATCATAATACCGCAGAGGTAGGCAAACGGTATGAGGGTGTTGAGAGAACCAATCTTATCAGCGAAGTAATTAGGCACAAGTCGAAAGACGAATCCAACCGAAACCACGGTCAGAAGAAGGTTGATGGACTGCTGATAGCTTACGCCGAGAACGTTTCGACCATACGCACCGATGTAGAAGAAGACAAAGTACAGTCCCTGCAAGTCATGAGCGAAAATTCAGCGAGCAGGAGTTGAGGCATACCCAGAAATTGAAGAACATTGCCACGCAATACAGGACAAAGGGCGTCTCCTTGAATGACGCCCAGTCAACCAGAGGCCCGGACTTTCTCGGTGGTAAGCGTGTCTTGAGCAGAGAGATAGTAATAATATTGATGGCGACCATAATGAAGCCAATCACTCTGATAGTCCAAGCATAACCGACCTTTGGAAGCAGCTGCTGAACAACGACAGGAAAGATGACTCCTCCCGTGCAAGAGCCGACGGCAGTAATGCCCACAGCGAGCGCTCGCTTCTTGGCAAAGTATGTGGTGATCAAAGACATAACCGGACAGAATTGAAGGCCATTCGCGATACCGATACACAAAGCTTGAGCAAGAAAGAGTTGCCAAAACGTCTTGCATTGCGCTTGACAAAATATCCCAACGATCTGGAACACAGCGCCGGAGATGTATACGGGCCTGAAGAGTCCAGCATCAGTAGCTCGGCCAGTAAAGGTGCCAATTCCGAAGAGAAGGAAAATCTGGATGGATCCAATCCAGGATATGGCGGATGGGCTTACACCGAGAGTGTTCTGATAGTACGTCTGGAATACGCCAAAACTGGTGATGTAGCCAAAGGTGGAGAAGATGGTGAGATGCACACATGCACATTGAACCCATGCTTGCAGACCTCCATCGGGCGGTGGTCCTGGATCTTGGCAGGAAGATGCGGCAGATGTTCTTGATATCGCTCTTGCCAAGGTGGTTCCCATTCCGGAGGGCTTTCCTGCGTGGAATTGATGAGGTGGCTGTTCGGCTTCTTCGATTGCTCGTTCCATATCGTCGTCGTCTGGATTCGGCCACGCGCGCATGCCTGGCTCTTCAGCTTGTGCGGATTGGCCGCAGTCATATTTTCCCGACTCGTTGTCAATAGTTCGTGCCATGGTCGGTCATTGAGCAAACAGCTCAGAACGAACGAACGTGACTGTCAGGAATGTGTTGAAATATCAGGAATGGGGATGAGATGTCGAAAAGATTATGTAAAAAGAACACAAGGCCGCAATGGCAAATACATTAGTGATGAGGAGTTTGCGGTGACAAAGCGATTCAATGGCAACACAGCACATCCTGGACTCTACCTCGGGCTGGGGCGAATCAGAATCCTTCGAATTATCAGATAGAAGGAAATGTGCTGTGCTTTGGCATGATGCAGCAGCACACCGACATCGCTGTCACGACATCTGCAGCTGCTTGGTCTCCTCCGTCGCTCTTGCCTTGCCTTGCCTTGCCTTGTCTTGCCTTCTGGCTGCAGCGAACATCTCCTACTCAAAAGTTCCCCGGGCTCTTGCAACACCCGCAGCGCTATTCACACGACTCTTCCGGCACGCGTCTGATGGAAGGTGCTGTCGTCCATCTCGTCGAGTGTCTCGCCGCTCGTGACATCTCCGAGTCGTCCGAGGAGGGCAGTTCCATGTGCTCTGCCTGGATCGTGATGTTGTGCGTTGGTATGATAGAATTTCCCCTCTGACAGCTCCAGAAAGAGACGGCGGAGGATGTTCTCAAGTCTCTCGCAGAACTATAGAGTAGTAGAATACACGAACTTCTCACGCCTGCTGAGGACTGACTCGCGCCTGCCCCGGCCCCTGAACCTGTCTAAACCTTATTGGTGACAGCAGCAACCACCTGCCTTGTGTATTTTCCTCTTCCTCATCATCATCGCACTTCGTGTGTTTCCCGTGAGAATGTCTACGGCACGAGGAAGCACACTGATTACAAGCACAGTACATACTCGCGACACCTGCTCGCCCATCGATTGCCCTACCACAACCCATATCGCTACCCGCATCTCGTCACCATGATTCCTTGTCGGCGTCTGTTCGAAATATGCGGGGATACCAGATTGCTCTGCTCTGGCTATCTCTCCCGCCACATGAGGAGAACCTCATGACCTCGGATCCGCATATCAGACAAGTCACTCATGAGCTTTCGGGTACTCTTGGGCTGGATGCATGGGTTACGCTTGCTTCTATTTCCCATCCGACTCGCCTCACCCTACCTTTGCGTGGAGCTTCCTCCAAGTTCGAAGATGTGGCAGCTTAGCTTTCAGCTAGCGTAGATGGCAAATTGATTGAAAAAGACGTATCTTCATCGGAGTTGCTCGTCCATCAATTTCACGTATCAGCCAGCACGCTTGTGTCGAGCATGCCGTGACCATCGAAAAGTGCCCAATCAATTTCAGGCGTTAGGAAAGACGCTGGGTCTTGATCCATATCCATGACCCAGTTTTCTTCCAAGATCGGAGTGTTGCCACGATCAAGGTCGAGCTCGCTGTGCACCGAGAGCCCAGGGATTTGTTGTTCGGGTGTGACAACATCTTGTGGACGCTCTGATTGTCCACTTTCGGAGTCTTTGGGCGAATCACGAAGGTCGGAGCTGGCTTTGGTCTTCGGTAGAGAATGCGAGTGGCAAGCCGCTGAAGGCTGCATTTTAGCGAAGGGTCGTAGGTCGCCTGCTTCCTTGGTGGCGTGCTGGACCTGAAGCAGCCACCAGCGTTCCATGCGTCGGATGATAGCCCAGAATTTGGAAGGAGTCCTTCGAGCCTCACTGTCGGTCGCTCCTTGAAGCATTTGATGGAAGGCCTGGAAGTAGTACGAGACCTTTAAGGTGTTTTCATCAAGTATCTTACCGATCTCGTTCTTGGGCCGCCGTGATGCCATATCGAGCATAAGAAGAATAGTGAAAGAATGCAATGTGCGAATGTAGTACACCTTTTGCACATCAGTAAACGATTCTGATGGGGTTTGAATGTACCTACAATTGGTGCTGCCAACAAGTTCACAGCATCGAACTGCAGAAATGCCTCGAGTGCGGAGTGGACGGTCTCAACCAGCGCCATGAATGTACGGGTCACGAATGGAGTCAGTCTTGCGGAGGGAGGTGCTGGAGCGTCAAGCGGGCGAACACGAAATGGTGGCCGAAAGTCTTCCAGGTCGTGGTCTACGTATAGTACAACGCAAAGTACCATTGCTCGCGAATAATGGTAGTGAATCTCCAAAGCACCTGGCGCTCGTTAGTTTGACTGATCAAGACCCACACGAACATGACACAAACCATTTAGGTGCAATCCATGATCATCTCTCCAGAAATCGAGCTTTTTGCAGAAATCGTTCACGAGGATCTGATTCTTGGGATCTGAGAGATCCATGGCCTTAGTGAAGAAAATGTCAGCGCCAACCTCCGAAATCCTCTGAAGTTCGACCCATGCGATGAACCACCTATCTTGGTACGATAGGTCTCTCCGAGCTTTGAATAGGTCAATGCACTTCTGTTTGTACGGGGTGAACCTCAGCATCTTTGGTCTCCCTGTTGTAACAGAAATACCGGTGCATAAATGATATATGCCCAGAAGCGTTCTCCTTCGATCCCAACCTTCTTCGTCAATGTCTTCCTCCCCACTGTCTTGGCTCTCGTCACCCAAGCCAATGTCCATGGCGATGGTTGCTGCCAAATGCGCAAATTGATAATGGCGAAGACTTTCAAACTTGTCAAGCGGCGCATACCAGATGGTGACCACAGTAATGGCCTGGACCAGGTCAAGCGTATGTTCTCCGTCTAGCATGATGCGCCGAGCCAGAAGAGCCAACAACTCATGGTTCAATGCGGTATTCAAGTCATGTCCTGCTGTGACACTCGCTGCAGCCAATATCGCCAGGAAGGTAACAGGTCGTTCAGTTCGAAGCTTTTCTGTAGATCTGTACGCCGGCAAAGTAACAAAGGGATAGTGAATAGCCAAGCCGTCGAAATAGACCTCCACCAGTCGATCAGCTTCTTCCCAGCTTAAAACGTGTCTTTCGACAACATCATCGCTGCTAGCAGCTATACTTCTCACGACCCGCTCTGGGTTCGGTGATGCTCGGGTAGGACTGTGGCCTACTGCCTCAACATGAAGAATGAGGTCCTCGTTCACAGTAGCGCTTTTCCGTGGCCAAGATGCCGGGGTGACTGGGGCTTCAAACCTTAGACCACCAGCATCAGGTGGTGTCAAGGACGAGATATTCGTGGGACCAGAGTGCTGGGCCTGGTGCAACTGCATTCGAAGCGCTCGCAGTTGCCGCTCTAGCTCCGCCACTCGAGCATCGACATGGAGTTTGCGTCTTTGCCTGACACGCGGAGCCTTGAAGACGCACAATCGACTCGTATCTCGACATCGTTTACAGATTCCGTCTGGCGAGTCTTCCTCCACTATGCACCTCAGCTTACTGCTTCGGCAAGTCTATACAACGAAGGTATCAGTTCTCGCGGCAAGCCGCATCTTCCGTATATCTATCCGTCGGGTACTGACCTCGCAAGCTTTGTTGATCTTGTCGTTCCCTTGCGGCTGCTCATTTGCCTCCGAGGCGATCTCGTTTGGCGGCGAGGAATGCTCCGTCATGATAGCATCGGATCTGGAATAATAATGTCGGAGTTTGGTGTCGATCCTGTTTTGTTGGTGAACGTCTGACAAGGCGTGCGTGCTTGCGTGCGTCTCCAGCTCGGTCTCGGATTACTACTTGCTAGGGTAGGGATTTCGGCATGTGCACGTTCCGAAACCCTCAACTCGGGAAAGGCGGACCGGTTTATGTACAGCGTCTACGCACATCGGAGTGAAAGTGCTAAATTCCCCAATCCTGGACTTCATGGTTCGTAACAAATCAGAAATCTCACATTCTACGGGCCGCTGGTATCCCATTTCACTCTGCGTCAAGACGCTGGCTCCAACCCTTCCCCTTCTTTTCATCAACATGGCAGCGAACATTCTTAGTCTCTCGCTTGAAGGATGAGCACCAGTCACGGGCCCGTTTCTGGAGCAGATACTCATGTCACGCCATGTCCGGAGTCGTCCAATGTACTTGGTCTTGCAAGCACAGCAGACGCCGACAGAAGCATTGAGAGCAGTTCCGCGAAGGATGTCGGGGACAAATGCTGATCTGGGACGTGGCAGCAAACTCATTCACATACTTCAGCAAGAACTCCAGACCAACGCCTTCGCTTGTCCCAATCAACCCACTTTTGCAGTGCATTTACGAATTCATCTTCGGTTTCGCTTTTGCGTCCTTCTTAGCCTTGGCCTCCTCCTTTTTCTTCTTCTTGTTGGCCTCCAGCTTCTCCTCGTTTTTCCTCTTCAGACTCGCCTTCTCCTCTTCTGTCTTGGGTACAGCCTTGAAGAAGCCCTCTAGTCTGGACTGCTGACTCGACTTGAGGTTCTTCTGCAAGCGTGCTGCACCACTTCGTACACGGTCTTCGGAGAAGCCCTTCTCCTCAACCAAGAATTTGACTAGTCCATCAACGTCTGGGTTCTCCCACTTGAAGTCGCATTCGGGATGGTCTGCTTGACGGACATCTGGCTCCTGGAAGAGCACACGGGCATCTTGATACGGCCAGTCCTCTGGTAGCGTGTATTTGCCAGTCTTTTCGATCATTGCGACCACTCCTTCCAGGTTCTTGTGCTCCTTGATGAGGGCAAGAGCATTCTTTGGACCGATCCCCTTGACCGGATCCAGGTAATCGCAGCCCAGTAGAATGCACAGATCGATGAATTGGTTCTGGTCCATGTCCAAGCCTTCAAGCACGCGGTCAAGATGGATTTCCTGAATGGGCTCTTTCCTCTGCTCGGAGAATGTTAGCTTTCGCAGCAAGACCGGCGAAGCGAATGTCAGCGTATCCATATCCTCGCTCGCAGCTGCGTACACTTTTCCAGCTCGTGCGATCACTGCACACTGTGCCTCGGCTTCCGTTGGCGCAATGATATACGGCACACCCATGAGCTTCAGCAGTCTCTGTGCCTCTTGATTGTGCTCTCTCGTCACTCGGACCGTTCTCCGACTGAATTTCTCGACTTCCTCTGCTGTGCCAATTTCCTTCGCATCCTCGTGCGCCTCTTGTGCTTCCGATTTGCGCTGGAATCGCTTAGCCAGCTCGCCAGATTTGAGCTTTGGCGGAGCCCCGTCGAAAACATAGACAGGCTTGATGCCATTATCTACGATTCGTAATGTGCGGTAGAACATGCCCATGAGATGTGATGTTGTCTCGCCCGATTCGTTCATGAGCTGCTCGCCACCGCTTCGGACTGCGACGAGGAAGGAGTATAGTGACATAGATGCATCGATGGCGACTTTACGGCCGAATTGGTTCTTGATCTCGCCTTCTTTGATCGCGTCGGGACAGTTCTCCTTGATAACTTGGTAAAGGTCTATACATGTCAGCGAGCGAGCTCACGTATGAATGATCAATTGAGACGCGGCTCACTTTTGATACCCATCTTGGCGGTTGCTGGTATATTATGTCGTCGCTACCAGAAGTGGATGCTCATGTGAGAGAAACGCGACATGTCGGAATACCGCGTTTCGCGTCAGGATGATGACGTAATAGTCCGTGCGCCGTGCGGATCCATTCACCTACCTTGCTACCTTCTCCCTGGCCGTGTTCTCGCACTTGTCGGCCTAGAGTTCATCGCTGTTACGGCTCTCTATCTGCTATGCCGAATGTTGCCAGCATTCTTATGGTGAAGCCGACTCCAATACCTTCCCGTTTGGTCTTGTCAGCGGCGAAGTGAATCTTGACGCCGGCCTCGGCATGCGGCTCGCGGCCAATCTCCCCTGATTCTCCCGAGGTCTTTGACGTCTCGACTTGCATGTATATACAGCTAAATAGATCTGCAACCCTCATCTTCTGGTGACACAAGATTTCTTATTGTCTGCCATATCTGTCAAGATGTTCAAGTCATTAACAACGCGTGCCGCCAGGCAATACACAGCATCAGTCATTGGCCGCCGCTATGCATCAACGCCCACCGCATTCGATTGGAAGGATCCGCTCAACTCGGCCATAAATTTCACAGAGGAAGAGCTTGCGATTGCAGAGACTGCAGAGTCATATTGCCAAGAGCGGATGCTTCCTAGAGTACTTGGTGTGCGAGCGTGAACTACCTCATTCTCCAACCATTACTGACCTTTTGCATAGAGGCATATCGAAATGAAGACTACGATAGGAAGATCTTAGAAGAGATGGGCGAGCTTGGCCTGCTTGGGGCCACAATAAAAGGATATGGGTGCGCTGGCGTGTCCTCGGTAGCTTCTGGCTTGATCACGCGTGCCGTAGAAAGAGTCGACTCTGGATACCGATCAGGAATGAGCGTGCAATCGTCACTGGCTATGGGCGGTATCGAAGAATTTGGCACGCAGGAACAGAAGGACATGTTCTTGCCCGAGATGGCCAGGGGCAAGATGTTGGGCTGCTTTGGCCTGACAGAGCCCAACCACGGCTCAGATCCTGGAAGCATGGAAAGTGTGGCGAAGCCGCATCCAACCAAGGAAGGATACTACAGCTTGTCGGGTGCAAAGACTTGGATCACCAACTCACCGATTGCAGATGTATTCCTTGTCTGGGCGAAGCTGCAGGAGACTGGCAAGATTCGAGGCTTTACGATCAAACGATCAGACTGTCCACCTGGTACCTTGGAGACTCCTCCTTTGAAGCACAAGAATGGTCTTCGAGCATCGATCACCGGTATGATCCAGATGGATGATCTGCCAGTGCCGAAGGAGATGATGTTCCCAGAAGTTGAGGGCTTGCGAGGACCATTTTCCTGCTTGAACAGTGCACGATATGGTATTGCGTGGGGTGTTATGGGTGCACTAGAAGACTGCATTGCTCGAGCACGAGAATATGCTCTCGAGCGGAAGCAGTTTAAGGGCAATCCTATCGCAAAATATCAGCTTGTGCAGAAGAAGCTCGCAGATGCCACAACTGATGCCGCATACGGCATTCTCGCAGCATATCAGGTCGGTAGACTGAAGGACGAGGGCAAGGCCGCACCAGAGATGATCTCTATGATCAAGCGACAGAATTGTGATCGAGCACTTATCGGAGCACGAAATCTGCAGGAAATATTTGGCGGCAACGCTGCTTCAGATGAGTACCATATTGGACGACATGTTTCCAATCTGTTCGTGACACAGACGTACGAGGGACAAAGTGATATTCACTGTAAGTTGCACCAGATCGCGTCAGCATGCATGTGGAACTGATCGCTGACCATGCTCCGCCAGCATTGATTCTAGGTCGGGCTATTACCGGCATTCAAGCCTTTGTTTAGAACCGTCGGACGTTTCGGCCAGGTCTCACTTGGCAGGCTTCCGTCATCATGCAGCATTGTTCGTGCTTGGTGGTTTATACAAAATAGGAGAGGGCTGCAGACAGACCTTATACAGTACTGTCGGGAGGCAAATTCGCGGACAGGCAAGCGACCACAGCGGTGTGTTCCAGCCGCAGAGGCTCTAACTAGTGTATGTTGCATCGAAAGGAGGCTGTGGTTGCCGCGCGCCTGCAGCAGAGTCGAAGACTCGAAGTCTAAAAGCGCAACCCTGCATTGCATTTGGCCGCTGAGAATATGTCGTGGAACCGGACCGCCACCTGATGTGTTGCCATTCCTGTCCATGTCCCTTGTTCTCTACACTTCCAACCCGCTTCTAAAGATTCTCCTTCACTGAAACAAGAACATTTTTAACTCAGACATTCACGAGCGGCGTGGTCTTGCGACTTCGAGTGCCTGTGACGTTTCTCAACTAAGCGGGATTAGCCTTAAAACGGCTTAGTGACGCTTGGCTTGGCTGAACAACGGCGACTGCAGCGCCCAAAGTCGTCACTCTTCTTCGTGCAATAACTCTCTCTGCCAACAAAACCACACCCCACGACCACCGACACTCGACTGAACACGGAACAACACCGGACACACACATCACACAGCTGCCATGGCTCTCAAGCGAATCAACAGTACGTATCGCGTTTGCAGTTATCCTGCATGACTCTCACTGACGCCGCGCAGAGGAACTCACAGACTTGGGCCGGTACGATGGCAACCTGCGCTCCGATAAGTCTCCAACGGCGATATACTGATTGCGATACAGTGACCCTCCCTCATCATGCAGCGCTGGCCCCATCGGTGACGACCTGGTATGTCCGCTACCGCTCCGCCCGCACCCCGCGGCACTGCCACTTTTGCGAGGCAAGGCAAGGCTGAGGGACATCTACGGCTAACACACCTACACAGTTCCACTGGCAAGCGACCATCATGGGCCCTGGCGACTCTCCATACTCCGGCGGCGTCTTCTTCCTCGCGATCCATTTCCCCACAGACTACCCATTCAAGCCACCGAAGGTCAACTTCACCACCCGTATCTACCACCCGAACATCAACAGCAACGGCAGCATTTGCTTGGACATTCTCAGAGATCAGTGGAGCCCAGCTCTGACCATCTCGAAAGGTTCGTTGATATGGACGAGTCCTCGAGGGAATATGAACCTTGATGGACGAGGTGGAATAAGATATGAACAAAGCTGACAGTACAACTACAGTCCTGCTCTCGATCTGCTCCATGCTCACAGACCCGAACCCAGACGACCCGCTGGTGCCCGAAATCGCACACGTCTACAAGACCGACCGTTCTCGATACGAGGCTACCGCGAGGGAGTGGACTAGGAAGTACGCCATCTAGGGGTCGATGTTAGAAAGGGCGATTGTTCTGGGCTTTCAGACACACGACCGATTTTGACTTCGGCGTAGAGGAACCCGGGATGGCATGAAAAAATCCTCGAGGTCAGCATCATATTGGACTTCGACGAGCGGGCCAGATTCGCAGGTGTGTGCGATTACTGCTGCGGAGTGGGCTTCTCGGTTGTGCTTTACAGCGAGTAGCTTAGGCGGCATTATGCTATGCGGAAGTGGTTGATGAGACACTACTATTGCATCAGGACTTGACTTTGTTGCTGCGTTCTGGGTGTGTGCTTTCTTCATACATGGGCTGCGCGTTAGGGAGATAAATGCTACTGCTGGTTTTCGGATGATCCTAGTCAATCAGTAAGTGCCGGTCGCTCTTGCCTTGTTAGTCGTGATAGGCTACTGTACTGCAGAATACCGCTGTAGCTCCCTCTCGCTCGCTCTGCGTGTGAGTCTCGGGTCGAACTCCTGAAGTGAACCTTTGGTGGCGTGCCGCGTTTGCACGTGAAACCGGGCCGCAATCTTCCTTCGCGATCAGCTTCGCATCTGTAGTTGCACTCAAGCAACGGCCGACTTCCACACAGCACCACCGAAGATCCAGAATAGCGACATTATGTCGACTTCGGCTCCAGCTTCTGGCGACCAGATCGGCCATGGTGCCGACAACATCAAGGTAAAGCCGCAACGCTTGAGCCGCCTACGAGATGAGCAAACGCTGATTCTCTATAGTCATACATCGCTTGTCACCACACCCTCGACACTCCTGAGCTGCTCGAGAACATTCTACTGCACCTGCCGATGCGCGACTTGCTCCTCGATCAACGAGTGTGCAAGACGTGGAAGGCATGCGTTGACAGTAGCATCAAGCTGCAGAGAGGCCTCTTCTTCAAGCCGGCTGGCAAGATCATTGCGCTCCCAAGTTTGCCAGACGGGGTCATCGTCAAATGGTCGCCACCTGATGACCTCTTCATCAATCCACTTCTTCTGAACTCCTTCGGCAGCTTCAACATGGCACGGGAGATTCTTCAACTGGAAACAAAGCCACGACCAGAGGACAGATTCATGCGCGCAGACGCTTCGTGGCGCAGAATGCTGTTTACGCAGCCACCTCAAGCAAGCATCGACATGAGGAGCCGGATTTTGCAAGCACAGGATGAGTTGATTCAAGACGACTCGCCTGAAATCACAGCTATGAGAGAGGCTCTCGACCCAGGTGCGGACATGCCTGCCAGTAAGAGATCTGAAGCTATTCTGGAGGCCATTCGTGATCACAAAGCACGATTCTTCAGCATACTTCCACTGCATATCCAGCAACCAATAAGGCAGGCCTTCGAAGAGGATGAGGACGAACACTATGAAAATCACCGGCAAATCTTGATCCAAATGCTTCAAGGGACGCCGGTGAATCAGGTGCTTGACATTCTGCTGCAGTTATCGCAATTCATGATCTTCTGGGTTACAATTCATGATGCCATCATGCCAGCAATGCTCAGCGCTACTCTGCTCAGGTTGCCTCGCTACAAGTCGGCGAAACAGCTGGAAGGCGTGTGAGCCATTCGATCCAGGACGAAGTCTCCTATAGTTGATTCTAGGCTCCCTAATTCTCTCAGCTTTGAAGATTCATGTGGATCAGATTGACGAGGATTGGTGAGCAGCAGTGCTTCGGGAGCAATTGAAATTGAAGCGTTCCTTTCCTTCACATGAGGAGCGGGTGTCCCGATCGAGCGATGGGAAGTCACATTAGATTTGCTTCCTAGAAAAGCGTTTCGACCTTTTCGCGGGAAAGATGACTCTATAATCACAAGTCCAAACGGTCATGCAGATGAAGTCCGTGCGTCAGTCGCGCCTTTTCTTTCTCTTTCCTCACAATTGAGCTTTCACCATCACATCGACATGCCAACATAACAACAACAATGGCAGATTCAGCCTGCGATGCAGTACTGAGCACCGTTGAGTTGCTGGAACACATTCTTCTTGGCCTCCCCATCAAAGATCTCCTATTCGCCCAGGCAGTCTGCAAGTCGTGGAAGGACATGATCGAGACATCACCCAATCTCCAAAAAGCGCTCTTCTTCCGACCAGCGGGGGCTATCATCGCGTGCGAGGAACCTGTGGATTTGGAGAAGGAGAAGAAACCATACGTGAGCTCGTCCGCGTCATCATAACACAACACGCTGACGAGGTCCAGCCGATACCATTCCGTCGTTGGGATGCTGATCTAGCCACCCCCAAGCCAGTACCGATGTTGAATCCACTATTGTACAAAATCTTTGGACGGGCGGGCATGGCGGCGTGCATTTCCACCGGTGAGGATATTACTGCCTGGCCTAAGGAGCGTCGCATTCCGTGCTATATCCAAGATATACCTGCCGCGGCTTCGAAGCCAGAAGCTTCGTGGCGTAGAATGCTGTTGAGTCAACCGCCATGGCCTGTGTGGTGGACGTCCCCAGCTGGTACACATCCGCTCGATAATGAGTACTGCCGGCGTGCTTTCCGGTGTACTGTGTATGCTCTGGGGAAGTTTGAGGAATGTGAGATGGCGGAGGAGATCATGAAGCTTTGAGCGCAGGATGGCTACTGGAGCCCTTGGACTATGACACGGCGGTTTAGGGAATGCGTGTGGCTGTTCTCTCGTTCTGTGTGCTTGAACGTAGTATTGTGAAATGAAGTGCTGCTTCATCGTCAGCTTCTGCTTCAGATCTTTCTCCTTGACGCTCACCTGGTCAACCACGCCACTTCTGCGCACAGCCCTGGCAATTGCACTCACCACACGTCGCGCCCTTGACTACCGCCTTACACAAACGTCCATTGTGTGTCGCAAAAATGGCAGACATGGTGTCACCGCCTTCCCGCGCGGAACATTACGAGCAGACGCAAGCGCGGAAGGCGAGCACCAAGACATGCACAGGCATCGGCAGCAGCTGACATTCTGTGTAGCCGGCATTCAAAGCCTGCCACCAGACGCTCGAAACAATCGAGCTCCTCGAGGAGATTCTATCGCATCTTCCAATGAAGGACCTGCTCTTTGCTCAGAAGATCTCTCGCACCTGGCAGAACTGCATCAAAAGCTCAAAGCGTCTCCAACAAGGCTTGTTCTTTCGCGCCCCTGGCGCTCAGCCCACGGTGGATTTAGTGGGACAGCTGTTCGACGCAATGATGCGAAATGACTCGAAGGCCAGTAATGCATGCAAGGCCAAATTCGTGCGAAGCGCAGTGATCAATCCTCTCCTCCGCAAAGCCTCCTCACCAAAGCAGATGGCGACCTGTCTGCTTGGGTCTGATCGGCTCTCTCGTGAGAAAGCATTCGCCAGATCCGAAGCATCGTGGAGGAGCATGCTCTGGAATTACCCAGAATTGAAGAGAATTGATGCCGAGTGCTTCGCCCTGAGATCGAACGAGGCCTTGATCGCATCTCGTGGCCATTTCCGTCCTCCCGTGAAGCCCAGGGCTCGTGCAATGTGGGATGCACGTATTCGGGCATGGTTTGAGCATCAATTCATCGCAATTTTCCTTGGGACGGAAGAGCCGGAGACAACGGCAGAGCTCGAGGCTCGCTTCTCAGCCGTGATTGAAGCTGAAGCTGTCCCGAAAGAGGTCAATCCTGCTTCTCTGTAATAGAGGAATTATGCTGGGTCTCGTCGAGAAGAACGAGGACCTCTGAGAGTGATATGATGGTTGCTCTAGTGTCGCAGGAGACTTGACGAGGACTCTCCACCAGGCCTTACAGCATCCCACACTCAACACAGCAGAGCGATCTAGCGTCACCAGAAAGCGAGTCTTCCATATCTTCCTCGCCTAAATGCCTCGTCATTTCCCACATAGCGAGGGTACGCCCTGAAGTTCGTTCTAGGCCGATACATCGTCGGTATGAGGCGCTGGTGCTTGAAAACAATTCGTGCGCGCGGGATGTCAATCCCCTGCAGCCATAGCGTGCTCTTATGTCGTCTGGATTCTGAAGTGAGAATTGTGAAAGAGTTACAGGGGCGGCAATGGTGTTACGTAAGCAGTTGCTTGGCGGACAACGACGCCTTGATCGCGACTTTTCCTTCCATGTCAATGCTCTTCACCTGCATTATTGTGGTATCATCTGCTCGGTTCTCAACAACTTCTTGAGACAGACTGGATTCGAATCTCTACCTTACTATCAAGCTATGGCCTCAACGAACGGCAGCGACTATACCGATTATCGTAGTGTTCAAGAGCCAGGGATCCCATATTTCACGCCCAAGCAGTCAACGCCTGTTGGTGCTGCTCTTCTTGATAAGAATGGATCTCCAGAAAATGCAATCAGTCCCGTATTCCGGCCGCTAACCATTCGTGGGGTCACCTTCTGCAACAGGATCTTCGTCTCGCCGATGTGCATGTATAGTTGCTCAAGCGACGGCATGATGACTGACTTCCATTTGGTCAATGCCGGGCAGTTCGCTCTGCGAGGTGCTGCTCTGGTGACCCTGGAAGCGACCGCTGTGCTGCCATCGGTAGGCCGCTACGTGTTCGCGAGCAGGTCAAACAGCTTACCAGTGCCGATGTACTGATAGGGTCTCAATTCTGTGCAAGATGCCGGCCTATGGTCTGATGCACAAATAGCGCCAGTCAAACGTGTGGTAGACTTCATACACTCACAGAGCAAGCACGCCGCTATCCAGATTCAGCACGCGGGCCGAAAAGCCAGCATCTGTCCCCCATGGCTCGGCCTTCGAACAGTACCGGAGCAGTACGGTGGCTTCCCTGATAGAGTGCTTGCACCGACTGCAGAGTCGTGGAATGACAATTACCCTCTACCGAAAGAGATGACTGCAAACGAGATATGGGAAGTGATAGAAGCATTTGGACAAGCTGCGAAAAGAGCAGTGGAAGCTGGATGTCGTATCGTAGCTGTACACGGTGCTCATGGATACCTGATACACTCCTTCGCAAGTCCTGCGAGTAATAAGCGTACTGATGAATGGGGAGGCAGTTTTGAAAATCGCATCAAGTTCGCGGTCGAGATCATTCGAAAGATTCGCCGTAATGTGCCTCCGGAGACACTACTGTTCTGGAAGATCTCCGCGGTAAGTCAGCAATGCAGTAGCTGAGGCGAGAGTTAATCGAATGCTCAGGTGGACTGGCTGCCTCCTGGCGAGGGCTGGGAATTGGAAGACACGCTGCGATTTGCACCAATTCTCGCCGCTGAAGGCGTTGACATGCTAGACGTCTCGAGCGGAGGCACAGATCGCAGGCAGAAAGTAGAAATGGGTCCTCAGTATCAGGTCAAGTTTGCAAAAGCAGTAAAAGATCTCGGTATTCCCGGTCTCTACGTAGGTGCAGTGGGCTGGATCAGAGATGGCGCTACAGTAGCAGATGTGAGGCTCCCTGCATGCAATTTCGTGCGATAACTAGGAGCACAGTGCTGATACTCTGTCATAGATCATCGAGAATGGCAAGGCAGACTTCTGCTCAGTGGCACGCGAGTTCTTGCGAGATCCGAACTTTGTCCATCGCGTAGCAATGGAAGTCGGCACCAAGATCGCTTGGCCAGATCAATATCATCGTGCCTCTTGTGAGTATTTCCCCTGCATCTGGTTCATCAGTCGATTCTCATTGGCTTCTAGATGGAGGCAGCTACGTCGAATCGACGACCAGCATTTCCACAGGTGCCAAGGCTCATGTCCATATCACGAGAGACAATACCTTGGACCAGGCAAAGCCACCATCTGCGATAGATATTAGTGAGCCTGCAGACACATCCACAGATTGACGAATTGTATGTTTAGCTTGATTGCAGAGTCGTCTTGCGCTTGAGTCACTGAGTAGGAAGTGCCTGTGTGCGAGCATAGCCCCATGCAGGCCCAAAATCGTCTTGTCCGGGTTGCGTGTTGATATTGCAGAGATGAAGTCTGTTCGCCCGGCAGTGACTTCAGCTGTTCTCCGAGCTGACCGATCGGGGTGATTGAAGTGTTTCGATGGATGTGAAGCAAGAACGTAAGGTATCCGTTCAGCTTCGGAAGACCCGAAATGGTTGAAAACTTCATCATGGGGTAGTGTTGTGAAAGCTTTCATAATCGAAGATAACGAGTGATCAACTTAGCAGCACCCGAATTTCGTCCTGCGTTCTGGGAAACACTTCTCTCAGCCACACTTCCTCCTCAAAATCACCATTGACCTGCTTGGCATGAAGCTCGTCGGACTGGATAATCATGGCCTCGATTTCTTCAAAATCCTCGCAAAATTGCTCAGCGGCCTGCTCAATGACGCGCCTGGCCAACGATCTGTTCTCAAGCTGCCCGAGGTATCCTCGAGCATCTTCCGTCGCAGTCGGCAAGAATGCATCGAGCTGCTGTGCAATGGAGATGAGCTGACTTGGATCTTTATATGATGACGAGAGGTCATCCAACGAATTGATGTTATCCACAAGATGCTTGAGCCCGGATTCGCGCAGGAACCAGATGTGCATCGCGTCTGCCAACTGCTGCTCATGAGCCTCGATGCCCGGTTGTAGCTCTTCTGATCGATCCGCAAAGCTGTATGAGCTTAAAACATCTTTCGTAGCAAAGAGGCAGTTGAGGGCGAAGATGTGGCTGCTTGGTGCACGCAGACGTTTTGTGATGTTCTCGCAGCCCGCGAGGAATGGGTCTAATGATTCTTGCAACACAGGCTGGAAATCTTCGACGCGCTGAGCTCTGTTGGCGTGTACGTTGGACGTGTCGTAACTCTTCATAAGCACCTTCAATGTCTCCAGAGCACCGATCAGGAAGTCGGGGGGCGCAAGATCGTCGGTCGTAGAAATGGCGAAGTCTGTCTGCAAATTTGCGACATGGTCGCGCATGATCGAGCGGAAGGCCCTCATAGCTGTGTCTGCGATGGGGCGCAGTGCACTGAGTAGCGTAGAGTCTGGGGTCAAGAGCTTCGCGAAAATGCTCGAGTAAAAAGTGACAAGATTGGATATTTTGTAGGCCAGAGTGGCATCCTCATGGCTCTGGATGACCTGTTCTGTACGTTGCCTGAGCTGCCGGAAGACTCCAGCCAGATCACGTTCAACGAGCTCGTTGAGTGCCTTGCGCCCATCAAATGGCTGGGTAGTATCTTCTTCGGCAACAGCTTTTGACCAAGGCTCACTCTCGATTCCCGCTTGGATGCTTTTGGCTATCTCGTCTCCTTCTGAGATGAAGAAGACTTCCAGTACCTCTCGCTCTGACACAGTAGCGGCGTGTGCCCATGCCAGCATGTCACTGATGTATCGTAGAGGATCATGGGCCGATAATTCGATGGCCTTGCCCATGACGGGATGCTCGTGGTCGACAGGCGCGCCAGTCAGGGCGGCATAGAAGTTGTTCGACAATATATCCTCTCGAGCCTCGGCGAAGAAATCCAAGCAGTTTTGGAACAGAGTTGGTCTCTCCGCCAGCACCCTTAAAGCTCGCCGGATCGCAGCACTGATTTGAGGATTCTCCAAGTCTAAGGATTTGAACTCTTTCTGAAGCCAGCGGTAGAGCTTTTGATATGCGGCATTCAGTTGCCGTGAGCTCTGTTCGAGGATGTCAAGTCCCAGGCGCTGGTTCTCGGTGCCGAGCAGAAGCTGGCAGTCTTGGTGAATCTTCTTGACCCTCGTCAGAATGCGGAAGAAGTCATCGTTCACAGGTTCGGCGGTTGAGGTCAACGATGACAGATCGGGATCCGACAGCACGAAATGAGCCTTGCATGCATGCAGAAGCTGCTGCTTGGTTTCGACGTGTCTCCGGTCCGCCAGAACTGTCTTGGCTTCGTCCACCACGGGCCCAATGTCGCGAGTTGAAGCGGCAATATGTTTCCGCATTTCAGCAGCGCTGTTGTTGAGATTGGCAATGGCAAGTCCAATACGCCTGAGCTGCTCGGAAAGCGTGCCGAAGTCGTGCACAATATCTCCATTGCACTGGATCAGCTCTTCCTGCACGTCCAAGCGAAGGTTCCTCCTGGTGTCTGCTGTATTCTGAAGTCCTCTCTCGTGCAGGATGGAAAGGGCATCGCGGATGTCCAGGTCGGCGTAGGATGCCGACAGCACGCTTGTGATGCGATTCTGAAGAGCGTTCGACCGCGGTGCTGCGCTCGGGGCATTCTCTGTGGCCGGGGATGACAGGTGCTCCGAGTGAGAGGTCGACATGCTTGCCGAGATCCTTCAATGTGCTTCCTGTTCCTGAAGACTGAAGACCAGCTGTCACGTGTCGCGGTCGTTCTCTGCTGTCGGAGCTCAGGGCCGCCTCCGCCTCCGCCTCCGCCTCCGCCTCGGAAAAGTTCCCGGACTGGCACGGACTTGACTTTCACCGAGCTCCGCTCACTCCTGCAGCATCGTCACACTCCAACACCTTCTGCTATCGATATCGCTTAATTTACAGCAAAGCTCCGAAACGCCATCCATGCTGTCACGCGACGGAAGGGCTGGCCCGCTCGATTTTTGCACTGCCACCTTCTCAAAGATCGGGTCGAGACAGTCCGATCAAAGCGTGAGCGTGCCGTGCCCCTCTACCAACTCCCTCACTCGTATCGAAATGCTCCTCGAGACACCTCAACCCTCAACGCCTCCAGGGACCTTGCGCACAACCACCACCAACACCAGAATCTATCCATTAACTCCTCTACTCCTATGCATAGCTCTGCGACAGTCTCAGGCTCGCCATCGACTCCGTGAAACCTGCCACCACCCACATCCCACACCTCTGTCGCAACTACCCAACACAGGACCCGTATACACTTCGCCACTCCTCCATAGCGCTGCTTGACAATGGGCAAGAGGTGAGTGACCATTCCCCGTATGTCGTGTGCCATCGCTTGGTAGGAATGACGTCTGGGCACACCACTGCAACCTGGGAATCTCCACCCGCTTCACAATCCTGCTTCTGGTCCTGCCCAGCAAACAGGAATTTCGCGAGCCAGACACACACGTCACGGCACTGCAGGAGAGCAATCACTGCACGCCCGCAGTCTGCGCAGAAGCGGATCTGCTCCTGTGCCTGTGCCTGTGCCTGCCACTACCACTGATCCACCGCGACACGGCCAAAGCAAAAATGGCCGACACCCCCCAGGTCGAGAAGCCAGTGTTCGATATCATCCCAGACTCCACGCAAGCAACAGCCGACCATGCAACGCAGCGAGAGGAAAGGCGGACAAGCATCGCTGACCTCAACCACTATGCTCGCCCACGACCATACCACATCCCCCGCAACATCTCCCACAGCTATCCTGCCTTCAAGGCGAAACAAGAGTGTGCCTTGAAAATTGGCATGCAGGACTTTCAGAAAGAGATGAAGAAGAGCACCGGCATATCGCATCTAGACATGATCAAAGACAAGCTAACCATTCATCGGAACGGCAGTCAAAGTAAGCTCAGCCAGCAGGAGCTGGCAGACCTGCAAAAAGCCACACATTTCGACAAGAAAGAGCTGCAGCAGTGGTATAAGGGTATGCATCGCTTCCTGTTCAGCTTATGTGTGCTGTTGCAGACGCTTACATCGCTCAGGCTTCCTGAAGGATTGCCCATCCGGCATGCTCACCAAGTCCGAGTTCCAAAAGATATACAAGCAGTTCTTTCCCTTCGGCGATCCTTCGTCATTCGCAGATTATGTATTCAACGTCTTCGACGCCGACAAGTCAGGCAGTATAGACTTCAAAGAGTTCATCTGCGCGCTCTCCGTTACTAGTAGAGGGAAGATGGAGGACAAACTGGACTGGGCCTTCCAGCTATACGACATTGACGGAGATGGCAAGATCAGCTACGATGAAATGTTGTCCATTGTAGAAGCAATCTACAAAATGGTGGGCAGCATGGTGAAGTTGCCGGAGGATGAGGACACCCCCGAGAAACGAGTGAAGAAGATATTCAGGATGATGGACAAGGATGAGAACGGAAGTTTGGACATGGCAGAGTTCAAGGTAGGCCCATCCTGACAGCCAAACGCGCGTGCTCATGACGCTGACCTTGTCGCAGGAGGGTAGCAAGCGGGACGAAACCATTGTGTCAGCACTGTCACTGTATGATGGTCTGGTGTGATGAGCGCCTGAGTAGTGTGATATGCACATGAACTGCACGATTCCCAAGAAGCTACGAACCTGCACGAATACCGAGAAGTAGAGACCTGAGATTTGCATGGCGCCTGGAGAAGCAGGACCTGTGGTACAGGATACCATGAAATAGCCCCAAGAGCTTATCAGGATAACAGCATCTATGCATTGATGTCTTTGTGGAGTAGAGGCGAAGTATGAAACTCGCGCCTCGCCTCGCGTCATTGTATGCAGACGTGGAATGGCAAGGCAAGCCGGAAGCTCGAATCATGTACTTTACCTCGCGCGAAGTGATCTTGGACTCCACTGATGTGGCCCATAGCTTCCAACCCAAGTTTACATTCATGCGATGGTCGTCCACGTTCTTGCACTATTCGCTGGCCTGAAGAGCTTTCAAGTATTCTGTCGAAAATTGACAAAAGATTCTTCACTGCTGCATACATTTTACTGGAGTGGAGGGAAATGTATCCCCAAGCCACCGCGAACGCCAGAAATGAAGTAACGCCTCTGCCTAGCTATCCTTGCGATGCGTAAGCCTGGTACTCGTCCTCGGCCAACCTCTGCTTCAATAGTGGAAAACCAGGTCCGCATCTCATCGGTGACCACTCAGAACGCCCAATGTTAACAACACACAAGTCGAATTCCACCTCGATGCCGAACTCATGCCATCGTTTCGCTGCCGTCTTCTTCTAGCCTACAGCAGCTCTCCGTTCCTGCTCCACTGCTGCTTCTCGGTGTCCCAAACATATTCACGTTTGGACGGGATCAACTTGTTAGGATTCTTCTCCGGCAGAGTCTCGACCTTCTCGGTTGGTAGCCGCTTCGGCGGAAACACCAGCTCACCGGTGTACTCAAACGGGAAAGTTCTGAAGCCGAGGATGGCCTTCTGGGAGTATTCTTGTGTCCTGATGACGCTCGCCAGCTCTCTCCCTTGAACGATGACTCTTCCCCCCGCAGATGCTACCGTCGGCGGTTGAGTGAGGAACATATTCTGCCAGGATGCCCGAAGTCCCGTCCAGCTTGAGGAGACGTTGTCACCGCCACGCCATCGTCCGTTCAAGAAATCGAACAACGGCTTGAGCATTGGGTTGATGGTAATCGACGGAGGAAGAGTGATGCTTGGGCTGGTGTGGCCGTCCGAGACCTCCCGAGAGACTCGTGTGTGGTGAGGAACTGCAGTTCAGTTAGAGAGATTCGTGTCTTGACGCCATTGGCATTTGCGACTTACAACCAAACCTGACGAACTCTGGGCCCGATTTGCGAATCTTCTTCAGTGTTCTGCCATTGGCTTCCAGCTCAAGGCCTTTTGCATCCTCTGGTGCGAGGAAGAGAGAGCGCTGGACGGCAGGACTCTTTTCCACGGCTTTGCGCCAGGTCTTGCTGACGCGCTGGTAGATGATGACGTCCAGAGGTGGCAACTCGAGAAGGATGGCTTCGAGGAGCTCGGCGGTGTTGAAGACCGCCTGCGCCGTAGCGATCATGGTCATGTTGATGCGCTTCCTTACGAGTCCGCCGATGTGGAAGTGTGGGAGACAAGTTCGAGTCAAGCTGAAGCTAAATCTTTGAGGTCCGCGTGTTTGCATGTGATGATGTCCGTGCTCAAGTGGGTCCAAGATACGCGAGGAACTCGTCTGGTGGAGGTAGGAGGAGACCCGGCCTCACCCAGATCTGGGCCCTAGAAGTCGATTGAAGAGCTCCAGGAGTCTTGAGTCGAAAAAGGCCTAAGATATGAGCCAGGCTATGTAGGAAACGACTAGGCTGGGCACTGAGCTTGAGGATATGGAATATGGAATATGGACCTGAACTGAGATGAATTCAAGACCATATCCCGGTTTTTGGTATCTCGCCTTCCTGTACCGCGTCATGTCCTAAGCGCCTACCTGCCGCAGCAAGGTATAGTCGTATCAGCAGCCCCTTCTAGGCTCAATCACCCATCGAACACCCCGCTACTCGTACTTGAACTGCGCAAACGCCTCCTCAAACTTTTGCTTATCCGCCATCTCGTCCTCCTTCGTCTGAACCACATCCTTCCAATGACTCCGACTTTCTAGTCCCAACAACTTCCCGAGTACCCGTCTCGCAAACTGCAGATCGAAATTAAACTCCTCACTCAAAGGGAGCAACATCTCCGTCTCGTATCCTTCCGACCAAATCATAGCTCGAAAGTAATGACCCTCTCGCGCTTCTTCGATCTGAGAAGGCTCTGTGAGAAATTTCGGATACTTCCGATTCTCGGCCTCGGCCTCGAAAGCGGCCTCGACGAGTCTCTTCTTCACCATGTCGAGTGGTACAGGAAGAAATTGCCAGTGAAGATGCACGCCGCCGCCTCGAGAGATTTCCCATGTGACCGCGCCGAGTTGTGCTTCGCCTGATTCTCCTCGCGTAGATTTTGCAGAGATCATGTTGTGAAGAGCGGTACGGTAGCGTTTCATTTCGGTGTGGGTTGCTTCGCGGTTTTCTGGGTCGAAGGAGTTGATTGTCGGGGCGTGTTGGAGAGGGATGATGAGCATGTGGCAGGGCATCTCTAAACCTGGGAAGGTGTCGGGTGTTGTGAGAGGGCCTTTGGCAACTGTCAGGTAGACTTCTGTACCAATGTCGGCTACCATGTGTGCTTCATTCTCGTTGTTGGAGATACAGAAGTAGCATGCCATGGGGTCTTTCCGCGCCGGGGCATTTCGGCGGTGACGCTTCATGCGGCGGTCGTGGCCGTTGTATTGTTGCTGGGAGCCGTCTCCATTCGAGTAGCGGAAGCCATTGAAGCTTTCTTCTTGGGAGTCGAGCTTGCGCTTCTTTTGCGTGAGGGCGAAGGGGGAAGCGGTAGCGTCGGTGGGCAGCTGGGGTGGAGGTGGTGCAGAGGCTTCGAGTTGGAAGGCATAGAGAGCTTTCTGCTTGGCTTCATTGCCGAAAGCTGCGAAGCTGAGGAATCGCGTGATTGGTTGTGGGGGTGGGACGTTATGAAAGAACGGCTCTCGCTCGAAGAATGCTATTGACGTCGAGAAGTGATATCGTGGCTTCAGAGCTGTGACGAGGTCGCCGAGGCTTTGCACGCCCGATGGAGGCTGAGCTGCATATTTCGAGTGTGATCCGTCGACTACTCCAGCAGGCCACTCGCTCGTGACGAGAATGTCTGCGTGCTTGAAGTGCTTGGCGCTTTCGATGTCTCTATCTGTATAGACGGGCGCATACTCGTCCATGATTTCGTCCTCGGCCCGGGGGGAGTGCTTTCCGCCGATTGCGACAATCTTCAGGCCATCTGCAGTCTTGATCGAGACTTTGCGTCCGAGAATGCTGAGGTTCGGACACACTTCGCCTCCATCGTGCGTGACCTTCTGGATCACCGCAGGTGGCAAAGGGCGATTGCCCAGCGCAAAGTATGTCGGCACAGGAAATTCGATCTCGCCCTTGACAAGCCTGGCGACTTGGTCTTTCTCGGTAACGGTGGCTTTGTCCGGATCGGCAAATAGATTGCCAGCGATGATGCATATCGAGAAGTGGTGCTTCTCATTCAGGGCGGCCAGCTTGTCGACGAGCGACCACAGAGCACCATTCACGCACCCGATGACCACGCTGTATGGGGTTAGCTGGTGTTGCAACTGCTTGGGCTGTGGTGAGATTTGCATCTTGGAGGCCATGATGGCGATGATGATGGTGTGTGGAAGAAGGGAAGGCACGTTGTGCAGGGCTTAGACTCAGTTTGGGTATTGATGCTCATGAAGTGAGCTGTGCCTCATGGCGGACATGTGTTGACAGTGTAATCACCAGGTGAACAGGATTTCCTCACGTGCAGTACTTCCCTTCGTTCATTGATCATCACATGAAAGTCGCGTCGAAGAAAAGTAAGAGTAGAGTCTCGCCCGGCATCCCAGCTGGTCGGTAGCGCTCAGGGCTGCGCTGCCGAACTCCGAGATCTTCAAACCTTGGCCAAAATTCTACGCTGAGCATCAATTCTGCGTCTGCCATACCACCCATGCCCATGCGACACTGGACGATGTAGCCATGTCGTCCATGTCGAGAGGGAAAGCCGGCAAGGCTGCGAAGGCGTACAGAGTCGTCAAGCCGAAAAAGAGCAGCAAGCATACGACGCAGCACCATCGAAACCACCGATTCCAGTCCTTCAACGACCTCATCGAGAACACCAACATCCATCCCATCCGCCGAAAACGCTTTGTTGAGGGAGAAGAGACGGAGGTGGCGAGCTCGCACTCGTTCTTCGGAGAGTCGCTGCAAGAATGGAGAGACACCAATTTGTCCGCGACGTTCACGGCGTTCGCGAAAGAAGTTGCGCCGCTTTGCGACAATCTCGCGGGCGTGCTGCACAACGAGGATCGCATCATGGACTCGCTCGTCAGCTACATTGAACGCGGCGATGCTTTGGCCATGGATGCGCTGTTGAGTCTGCTCTCGCATTTGGCGCATGATCTAGATGCACGATTCGAGAAGCACTTCCAACGTGCTGTGGCCACGATTACAGCCCTCGCAGCGAAGCACGACGACCACGCTGTCATCGAGCAGAGCTTCACGTGCCTCGCGTGGCTGCTGAAATACCTGTCGCGACTGCTGACACCCGATCTGCGACCGCTGTATGACCTGGTGGCACCATATCTGGGTAAGGAACGTCAAAACCCTTTCATTGTACGCTTCACTGCAGAGTCCTTGAGCTTTTTGCTGCGGAAAACCGCCGCGACATACGAGAGAGATTCAACGCCTCTGGACAGCATCATGCAACATATGCTGCAAGATTGCGAAACCTGCAAAGATGAGCCTTCTGCAGACCTGCAGCAACAAGGTATCATGGCGCTTCTGACTGAGGCTGTTCGCGGTGTGCAGAACGGCATTCATACTAGTGGCAAAGCGGTATTGCAGTGTCTCCTCAAGTGTGCAGGCGGCATTGCTAAGAAAAATGAAGAAGTCGTGGAGCGCCTCACCACTGGCATAGTGACTAGTCTGATACACTATTGCAATAAAGAAGGCTTCGAGCCGGTACTGGACGTCTTGCTCGACTTCGCCCACGCCGCACTTAGCCCTCCCTTGTCCTCCAGCATTCACTTCGCCAGCTCGCTCCTGTTCACCGCCATGTCCGTGCGAAAGGGAAGTCGGATCATGGCCTGGAACAAAGTCGCAACTGCTACTCGGGATCTGATCGGTGCTTGCGATAGTCTTACGAGCATCTCAGAACACATCGCTGAAGCTGTTCTTGCTTCGTTAGCTATCTACCTCACTACTTCGACCACTCTAGACTCGGTTGCCGAGACCACGCGCATGCTGGAGCTTTTGAGGAGTAAGAAATGGGAGTCACACTTTCCACATTTTTGCGACATCTACTTCAGACTAAGCATCAATGGAACGTTCGACCACCTTGTCTTGGCCCAGCTGAAGCAATTCGTCTCTCAGCAGAAAGGCAAGCTGCACCCAGAACTACTTGCTCTGATTCCTCGAGCCGGAAGCCAGCACCCGAAGGACCTTTTCACGATTCCCAATGATGTTTTTGATCGATTCATCGCCCTCCTGACCAGGGTTGGAGGCCAAAGCGAAGATGTGGACTCAAACGAGCTTGCAGAAGCAAATGCTCATCTATCTATTACTCCATATCTGCTACTGGATGACTCTCAGAGGCAGGATCTACAAGCAGCACTACGGGCTTTAGTAGAGAAAGGTCTCACAGACAGAAGAGGTCGCTCGAGAGAAGTTCGAGACTTCAGCCTTGGGCCTGCATTCCATCACTTACTCCAGTTGGGACTACAGACCACGAAAGCCGATAATCTTTGGGTATTGCTATGCGAGGCCTGTCGCCATGTCTCTGGCCTTCCCGTGTTCTGGTCAAACTTACTGCAATTCCTTAAGCTCTGGAAGCCGACCAATGCTGGGGCTCAAGTGGAACAGCTTGAAGAAGTGCTAATCTCCTGCTTAGCAATGCCATCTGACTCTATTCGAAGTGATGTGCTTGATCTGATCCAACAGCTGTATCGACTGAAGGGGCTTGAGGAGCCAGAGATCCTAGCGACTGCTATCACGATAGAATCAACGCCAATCAAACTCGAAACAGCTCGATCAATTTCGATGAACATTCGAAGATTGGCCAAGCAGTATAGCACGCTGAACGAGAACGACCCGATGGTTCGAGCTATCCCAACGTACTGTTTTGGCTTGTTGCACGTCAGATTATCGCAAGCTTGGGAGGATGCTAGTAACACACTTGCATCGATTTGCGAGACCAAAGCTGGCGAAGAAGTGGTGATTAGTCTCATTCAGACTTGGATAGATCAATCCGCGGCTGCAGCGGATCAGGAGGTGTCCGAACCCAGCCTCCTTGACAGCAGTTCTGAGGGCTTCAAGGTCTTCTCTGATTTTGAATGTCCCAATCTGGCGAAAATGTTGGCCATACGGCAACAGGTTTTTCGCGAGCCTCAGAGCGGTGCCTTGTCTTCCAAAGGACAGCTGCAAGCCGATATCAGACATCTCGACTCCATCACAACGACTTCTCGTGGCCAGGCGCTAAAAGTGCTCAGCAAGATCCCAAAAGTTGCTGAAAGACGTTCACGGATCCTCGTTCCTATCCTCCTTCGATGGGCTGGGCCACAGGGTGAGGAAGATTGTGATCAAGAGACTCATGCGCGCTGGGCGAGAAAGGATCAAAAGGCACTGCTTGCTATTTTCGCGCAATTTGTCAATCCCAAAGTTCTCTTCAGAGCGGATGAAGTCTTCCAAGCTCTACTTGCTCTTTGCGCGAACGGCGACGTCGAGATTCAGAAATCTGCCCTCACAGCATTGCTTGCCTGGAAAAATCCTTCGGTGGCTCGTTACAAGGAGCATCTCAACAACTTGCTGGATGAGGAGAGATTCCGTGAAGAACTTTCCGTCTTCCTGCAAGAGCATGCTGATGACGATGAAGAGTCTGAAGGGATTCGGCCGGAAGACCATAGCAGCCTCATGCCTGTCTTGCTACGCCTTCTCTACGGAAGAGCTATCGCTGGCGGCAAAGAGGGCCAGTCTGGTCGTCGCAAAGCTCTGTTCGTCGCGCTCTCTAGATTTGGTGAGGCAACGATGCAAGAATTTCTCAACATTGCATTCAGGTCGCTATCAGGTCCGGGTGACAAAATTGAGATTCCACCAAGAGCGCCGCTGCGTCAGCAGCTTGGTCTTGTCAACATGATCAACGACATGCTTCAAGTCCTAGGAAGTGAGCTAAAACCTTTCGTTTCGAAGATCCTGGATGGTGTCTTGGCGTGCACTGTTGGCGCGGAGCAAGAACTCTCCAAAGAAGATACCACAGACCAATCACTTCTACGAGCACTTAGACAATCTGGTGTTCAATGCCTGGTCAAAGTCTTCGCCAATGTTGGCGACTTCCAGAACTCGTGGTCATACGCCGAGACGATCGCTCATGACATTGTCCGGCCACGTCTAGAGTCTTTCGCGGGTGAGAATGCACAGTCGATCTCAGGTGTCCTGCGTCTACTCGCAGCCTGGACTGCTTCTTCGGACACTGTATCTGTCTTTCGAATCGAAGACGTTGTGATGCTGGAGTCAGTGGCTCAGCTCTTGCAAACCGAGCATACAAAAGATGAAGTCCGATTATTCATTCTGCAGGAGCTTCTGGACAATTTGACCACGCCAGAAATATCAGCTCAGATACTGCAGCCTCACATCTCCGACTTTGTGAAGGCCATTGGTATCGTGCTTGAACAGCAGCCCAGCAAGGCGGTCCTCGACGCATGTGTCAGATCATTCTCGCACCTAGCGGGCAGGATCACATCCCAAGAGGAGGCAGTGAATGTGATTGGAGTCTGCGCCGTTCTTCTGAAGAGACCTAGTCACGCCGTCTCGTCGGCAACCAAGATATACCTGCTGCGGACAATCTTGCCTCTCATTGGCAACTTCAAGACAGATGCCAAGGACGACCTCTACTCAGCTTTATGTGCTTTGTACTCGCGCTTGCCGGATAATGATAGCAGGTCGTTGCTGTCCCAAGTGCTCGCGGCTCTGGTTCGAGACGATCAGCGACTCCTCGGCGCAGCTAAGATTTGCGCGGACATGAATGCCATGGGTTCCAGGTTGGATGAGCCTGATCATGGCCGTAGAGATGCCGCGTATGCGAGCGTCTTCAAGGAGGCCAACAACTTCTCATTAGAGCAGTGGCTGCCTTTGGTGCACAACTTTCTGTATTACATCAGAGATAATGACGATAGTGTTGCCAGGAAAAACGCCTCCCAGGCCCTCCGATTCTTTGTCAGCGCTGTTGCTGTGCACTTCGAAGAGCAGCATTGGCAGGGGTTGCTGGATGACGCTGTCTTCCAAGGCATTGAGCGTGGAATTCGAGACAGCAGATCGACTGAACTGGTCCGCGCTGAGTACTTAGCTGTCCTGGGACACATTGTGGAAAAGTTGCCTGACTGGCAGAAAGTGTCAGACATGCAGATACTTCTGGTCGGAGGTGACGAGGAAGCGTCATTCTTTGCGAATGCGCTCTACATCCAGCAGCACCGGCGACTTCGAGCACTCAGGCGACTGGGCGATGAAGCTACAAAGTTGGCATCTCACAACATCTCGAAGATCTTCTTGCCCCTGCTCGAGCATTTCATCTTCGATCAGGCAGAAGGCGATGCTGGACGGGTGTTAGCCGACCAAGCAGTGCAAACAATTGGCTCTCTTGCAAAGGGCTTGAACAAATCCGCCTTCCGTGCAGTGTTTCAGCGATACATGGGACATCTAAAGGCCAAGAAACAGGACGAAGATGAAGACGTTGAGAAGAAAGCTTTGCGTTTGTGCAATGCCATGGTTGATGGTTTGCAACGCGATTCTGATCAAGTGTCGGCACCTATCGTGCGAGAGCTTCTTCCTCCCCTCACGCAGTATCTTCAGCACAAGGATGAATCGACTGTCGATCGTCGCATTGCAGTGGCTGTCACAATCGTAAAGCTTATGCATGCAGCTCTGCCAGAGGACGATTTTGCGTTGCGATTGCCGGGAGTGCTGCTGGAGGTCTGCCACGTCTTACGCTCCAGAAGCCAAGAGGCGCGCGATCAAACGAGAAAAGCCTTGACGTCCATATCCGCTTTGATCGGACCACACTACTTCGGCTTTATTGTTAAGGAGCTTCGCAGCGCACTGAAGAGAGGTTACCAGTTACATGTCCTGTCCTACACTGTGCACTCACTGCTGGTGCAGACCACGCTGTCTTCAGGCGATCTGGACGAGGTCCTGTCTGACATAATGCTTGTCATCATGGATGACATCTTCGGCATCACGGGCCAAGAAAAGGATGCCGAGGAGTACAAGAGCGGCATGAAGGAGGTGAAGAGTAGCAAGAGCTTCGACACCATGGAGCTCTTGGCCAAGATCACTCCCATTCGCAAGCTCGGAGAGCTGATTCGACCTATTCGCTCTCTCCTGTCGGAGCGTGTTGACCTGAAAGTGGTTAAGAAGATGGACGAGCTGCTTACGAGGCTGCGCAAAGGCCTGGACCAGAATCCCGAGTCGGAGAGCCGGGATTTGCTCATTTTCTGCTACGAAATTGTGAAGCAAGTGTATGCCGATGATCAAGCCATCACAAATGCACGACCCGAACTCGATGAGCGAAGGAAGCGATATATTGTGCAACCGGAACCTGAGCAGAAGAAGAAGACGGCAAAGGGCTCCACTACATCTTACCGGTTCAAGCTCACGGCCTTTGCACTCAATCTTCTGCGCAAGGTACTGCGTCGGCACGAAGATTTGCAGACACCTCAAAACATGGCTGGCTTCCTTGGTATGGCCGGAGATGGCCTCATTCAAGGTCAAGAGGAGGTCAAGCTTTCTGCCGTACGCTTTTTGTCAACCATTATGCGAGTGCCACTTCCGCAACTTGAGGAAAATGCGCCAGTCTATGTCAAGGAAGCTGTGCTCATGATTAAGAGCGCTCCTGACATGACGACTGAATCCGCCAAGGCCGCTCTGGAGTTGATCACATCCGTCCTTCGTGAGCAGCGCTCAGTCTCGATCAAAGAGAAGGATATGGCACTTGTTCTCAAGCGTGTCAAGGCTGGCATTGACGAGCCCGATCGCCAGACTGTGATTTATAAGTTTTTAAAGGCTGTCATTGGTCGGAAAATCGTGATCACAGAAGTCTACGAGGTGATGGACGAGGTCAGCAAAGCGATGGTCATCAACCCTGATCGTGCCATTCGAGAAAGTGCACGCAGTGCTTACAGTGCCTTCATTATGGACTACCCGCAAGGAAAAGACCGATGGAAGAAGCAGACGTCATTCCTGGTCGGAAATCTTCAGTACGAGCACGCTGAAGGTCGAAAGAGTGTCATGGAATTCATCCACCAGATCTTGAGCAAGATTGGAGACGATGTCTTCGAGAAGGAAGTCGGTAATAGGTTATTCGTGTCCTTGCTTCCAGTCCTTGTGAGCGACTCGAGCAGTGAGTGTCGAGAAATGGCACGACTTCTAGTCGCCAAGCTGTTCGAGAGGGCCTCAACAGAGCAGCTGAAGAAGTTCCTTGGCATGATGGAGACATGGACACAAAGCGAGAAGAAGCCTGCTGTGAGAGCCGGCGCACTTCAGTGCTGGTCAGTGCTTCTGAAGGCGAAGCAGCTACCTGAGAAGCAACTTGTTGGCATCCGCGATAAGCTCGAAGACATCATATCTGACTGCTCAGCTGAGGATGCCGTGGTTGACCCACAGCTTGCTTTGGATGCGCTGAAGACGCTCGGTACTCTTGTTGAGACAGCGCCTTTTGTTGCTTTCTCCAGCAGCTCGTCTGGAGTATGGGATGGCTTGCAAACACTGGAGATCACGGGAGACGCAGAGATTGATGAATTGGTCGCATCACTGCTAGGCAGCTTCTTCACCGACTTCGCAAGCACAAGTTCGAAGACCACAGATGGGCTAGCTGGTCTGCCTCTACGTGGCTCAGGCGGTATGGAACTTGGCGCAGGACAAATGCGCAGGCTGGCAACCATTGCTCTTCGTACACTCAGAAATATCCAGCTTGGCACAAGCGAGACTCTCATCGCACAGATTGCAAGGAATCTCGTCTTTCTTGGCCGCTGCTTTGCCTCTAATGAAATGCCTTGGAACCAGACCAGCGACGCCACCCCAGCGGGATCTGAGGAGGAGAACGAAGATGACGACGAAGAAGAGACGGACGATGCGACGAGCCGCTCTGCTCTCTCCCGTCTCCTTCAACGTCTCTCATCCATGCTCATGGCCGACAAATTTTCCGTCGTCTCCCGTACGGCAGCGCTCCAGACTCTTACCTCTCTCATCAATGCCATCCCAACAATCCCGGCCTTGCCAGCAATCCTCCGGCCCCTTTACGCTTTGACGGACCCTTCAGTCCCCAAGCCACCTGGCGAACTGCATGCGAATCTCACAGCCAAAGCACACGAGACGCTAGACCTGATTCAGAAGAAGGTGGGATCTGACAGGTATTTGAAGGTTCTTGGACAAGTCAGAACTGAGGCAAAGGCTAGACGCGAAGAGAGAAGACAGAAGAGACGCATTGAGGCTGTGTCGAAGCCTGAAATTTGGGCTGAGCAGAAGAGGAGGAAGCATGAAGTGAAGAAGATCAAGATTAAAGAGAAGGGTGCCGAGGCACGAGGACGGAGGAGAGGATGGTAGAAAAGTTTGTCCAGGTTGTTCGAGTTGGGAGAAGCATAGCGATGGCGTTCGGCTGACTGTGACTGAACCACGAATGGTGAGGTCTGGCATGATGCATGGCGTTTGATACCCTAGAGCAAAAGTTTGATGTATAATTACTGTTCATCGAAGCCCGCGGACCCGTCTTAGTTGCTCTCTCGGAAGGTATTTTTGACTGGTAGCAAAGAGTGTAGGTTGACGGAGAAAAATTATCACATCAGAGGTAGGTTTGGAGATGCTGTCAGGCTTGAGGACGGCCGTGGCGAACAACCACATTCGCTGCCTCGCAGGGGCGGCGGCATCGCTCACATTGGACAAGTCCACCATTTAGACAACAGTATGCCCAGATGCTGATGGCATTCTGGAGGTGCTTGGGGGAAAGGGAGTCCTTCGCGTTCGTGTGCAGGATTGTCTGAACTATATTTCTACATCGGCATGATCTACATGTCATTTCGTCTAGCTGCTCTTTTGCTTCTTTCCTATGCTGACGTCTAGGTTGCCAATCACCCATGCAGTCACAAATACCACCGCAAAGCCAGCCGTGATGGTGAGTGGTTTCCTGAATCGCGCTGAGAATGGGTAGTCGTATGTGACGATGAGGTCACGATCGCGAAGCTCATCAACGATATTGATGGCGGTGAGCGTGAGCGTGGTGCGGCCGATGGTGTCCATGAAAGTCCGGTGGAAACTGGTGCTGTTATCGACGAGCGGCACTGTGGTCTCGAAGTTCACGTTGCTGCGAGATGTTAGGTTTTTGTTTCAGGGGATGGTCTTGGCAAGACTTACGTAGCTCCTTCTGGCAAAATGACGCGGGTGACGATGCGCTCATACTCAAGACCCTCGGCCTGCTTTGGACCTTCGAAAAATGGAACCTTGAGAACGAAAGTCTCTGAGCCTGCCTTTGTCCTCCTGAGGAAGTTCGGCAGATTACCATTCCAGCCGACCTTGAAGCTGTAGTTCCAGCCTCCGAAGACTGGGTAACGAGGCTTGATCTCCAAGTTAGACTCGCGCTTGTTGGTCCTGAACCTAGACGTGGAAACATTGCCAATGTCGTCAATGAAGTATGCATCAACGCTTCCCACGGTCAATGGGTAGCGCATTTCCTTGAGTGCGCTGGTCGGTGGGTTGTAGTAATTTGATTGAGCATATTGCACACGCGAGAAGTGATTCTTGAGTGTTGCAGCACGGTTTGTGAGCCAATGCCGCTCCTCCGTGGCGATGTTGCCGCCCCAGTGGCTGACTTCGATATCCCGCTCCAACAGTTTGCTGTGAGTGAGAGGCTTGGTGAACTCGTATCTCACGCTAGCCTCTTGGGTAGCTCCTGCCTCACGCTCATCGTAAGGACCGTATGTCCATGTCGTGCCCTGCTTCTGTGGGTCGGCATTTCCCTCTGCGTTCAGCTCGGCTGGCAGGTTCGTGTAGTCTGGAGCTTTGGTAGTTGGTAGCTTCAGCTTCGTCTTCTGCTTGGACGTGGTGTATGCGCTGGGGGCGTAGGCGGAGAATTTGTGCAGCACATACTGCTCGGCATTCTGCTCGATCTGTGATGGAAGTGGTTCAAGGGCTGAGAGGACGTAATATGTAATCGCGAGCGTTTGTTGCTCTTTTGGCGCGAGAGCCTTGGGTAGTGTGATCTTGTAGTATTCCGTCGTGCTTTACAAGAGTCAATTCTCAGTCAATACTCTATCGATGCAAGTATATCCTCACCTAAATGGATCAATACCAACCACCTCGACCGGGAGGTTTCCCTTCGCGGGCTCTTTCTTGTCCTTCGCTTCCAGCCCACCAATCCGTCCCAAAAGTCCTTGCTCGAATGGCAGATAGTATTCTGATTGCTCCTTTGAATCAATGTTTTCAATCACAACGTTGATGGTCTCGCGCGGATAGCTCTTCTCCAAGTTGATATTGCGCACCAGATTGACATTGCGGAAGTGCTTCGGCGGAGCAAATGCTGAGGGGAGAATGTTTTTCGACTCGTGCGTCAAATTCGATTCGGCAGCGGCGATGCTCGTAAGGCCTAATGCGGCCCATTGTATCAACCTCATCGTGTTGATGGCATTGATGTGAGTGCCTTGGCATGAAACTGGCTGGCTGTATAGAGCTCGCGACCACGCAAGCTGTCCCTTCCCACTTTAGAGTTTACACGCCAAGCATCACCGCTTCACATGCAACGCTACAACCACTTGTCCCTTGATCAGAACGACGAATACTCCAAGCCTCCCGCCTGACGCTTCAGAACTCCAATACCGTCATCATGGCTCCCAACATGTCACTGTTCTCGGTCAATGCGATCCTCATCCTCAGCACCGACGACAGCTCCCGCATTCTCGCCAAATACTACTCCCCTCCGCACATCCCACAAGGAGCTCAGGGCAACAACTATCCCGGCGCACAACCTTATACAACTGTCAAGGACCAGAAAGCATTCGAGAAGGGGCTACTAGAGAAGACAGCCAAGCAGACCAGCGATGTCATACTCTACGACAACCGAGTAGTGGTCTTTAAAATGGAGGCGGATATTATGCTCTACGTGGTTGGAGGCGCGGACGAGAATGAGATCATGCTTTACAATGTGATATTGGCTTTGAGGGATAGCTTGAACATTTTGCTCAAGTATGTGCAGCCTTGCGACTGCTCTACATAACTTTACTGACTTCATGTCCCCAGGAACTCTGTCGACAAGCGGACATTGATCGAGAACTACGACCTTGCTTCTCTTTGCATCGATGAGATTGTGGACGATGGTATCATCCTCGAGACAGACCCAGTAATCATTGCCAGCAGAGTCAGCAGACCGCCTCAGCAAGATATCCCGAATATGCAGGGCATTGATCTGAGCGAGGAGGGATTGCTCAAGATTTACCAGTTTGGAAAGCAAAAGTTGGGAGAAAGATTACGACAAGGACTGTAGGAGATTGATTACGACTGCGGGCATAGCGTCGGAGTCTGGAGTTCGAGGTGGGAAAACGTGGACTAGATCGGATAGCAGGTTTGACTTGGAGCTGGAATTCAATTGGTCGAATTTCATCTCGACCATATGATACAGTCAGCAAATAGATGCTTACCGAACTCACTCTGCAAGCTTGGCATGTGTCACATGCCGCGTTGATACCTGGACTGAAGGATGTTCTGGATCTGCTTTGCATTCGCCCACTGATTCTACGCATCGCGACGTGCTGACTATACCACGAGCACACAGCGAGTTTCACAAACATGGCACACGTCAGCGGAGAGGCTGTATTGGAGAGGTATTGTGGCGCTCGACTGCAATCTTCGAACGCAGAGAAGTCACAGCTAAGTTATCAAACAAATTCTCTACTCCCTGCGCGACGACTACCATGACCTAGAATCCGCAAATATTATCGAGAAGAGTGGCAACAGCTCTTGCCCAACAAAATTGACAAGCCAAGAAACGGCCTTTCAACGCATATGCATAATAGCCGAATACATTTCACCTTCTATTCTGCTCATTCGAGTCCATACTCACAGAAACATAGCTGCAGAATGGCGCTCGACGACTCATCAATGCCCATTTCGTCCGGGGAGTCAATCTCGAACTCGCTCGATAGGCCACCAATCGCGAGAGTGATCGATCCGCAATTAGTATCAAGCTCACCCAACATGTCGGCGATGTCCAGCTGTAAGGAAACATCCGACGCCCCATTCAAGAATATGGTACAGCGGTCAGTCTCATATATGTCACTACAAATGCTTTGCTGAAAATGGTTACAGGATGTGGAAAACCAGAGAGTTTTCCGACCTTACAATCATGGCCGAAGACCGCGAATTCAGTGTACACAAAAATATTGTCTGCCCAGCTTCTCCCTCCTTCAAGGCAGTCTGCTCCGAGGATCTCAACGTAAGGACATGCCTTCTACTGCGAGCGATTGAAGTTGACCCACAACAGGATATACCGACAAACAGTATCGGCGTTTCGGAGCCCGCCTCTGTGATAGAGGAGCTGCTGCAAAACATTTACGGACACAGTCCAGATATACCGAAGTTGCTGGAAGATCCCATTGCTGCCGTTCGTCATCTGTTCGAGGTTCTCACTGCCCTCAAGAAGGCGAGTCCTCATTCCGCCGAAATGTATTCAATTTGATGGCTGACAATCCACAGTACCAGATCACGGGCATAGCTGGTCAGATCTATGAAGCTATAATAGCCATGGCATGCGAGGAACGCGAATATCCTCATGCACCTCGACTCTTCGTCGCCATCGGGCAGATTATCTTTGAATACCGCAAGATAGTAAATACTGCGATACTGGAATGCTATGTCGAAGTTACCTATGATTTGTTCAGGTATATCCTCGCTGATGATGTCGCGTGGGGACTTCTTATTTTATCGCCGGACTATTACGAGGAGGTGATACGCAAGGCGTACGAAGAGTATCTCGAGCTCGAAGGCGAGCATGCTCCCTCATACAATGAGATGGGAGAGATCCGTAGTGCAAAGCACAGCATTTCGGGGCAGTAATCATGAAGGCAGACTTGAAAGAAACAGATCAGCCCAGGGAGTGGCGTCGATGGGTGACAGCGGAGGTCTTGCAGCATATCGAGCAGAAGAGGCGTATCGCCAGTTACCTAGGTAGGGCCAACAATTAGTGTGGTCACATTAAAGTAAGTTCTGTCTTCTTTCCTCTTCACCGTTGATGTGAAACATGAGTGGCGGCGCTGCAGGCTTGGCATTTGACCACTTATGACTGCTTACTTCTAGCTTCAACTCCATTACGAATTCAGCCGCCGCTCCTACTGCTTCAAATTATGAACATGGTCGCAAACGAGACACCACCCTCCGCTGTCTACGGGAAGCTTTTCGCCACCGGCGAATGGAGTGATCTGCAGATTGCGACGCCACCGAAGACATTCAAAGTGCACAAGAACATTGTCTGCACCGTGTGTCCTTTCTTTGAAGCGGCTTGCAAGCGGGACTGGGATGTACGATATCGAGCAATCCGTCATTCATCAAGGCAGCTAACCTAACTTAGGGGAAGTACGTACAGGTATCATCAAACTTCCGGAGGACGAAAAGGTGGTTTATTGTTTGCTTCGGTACATGTATGGTGTGGCGTATAATTTGGTGGACGAGTACTTTATTTGTCATGCGCGTCGTTGCAAGCGGCTCGTGCAAGTGTCGAAGCAAGGGTGATGAGTTTGAGGAGCTAGATTAGCTTCGCGAAGCGGAGGCCGGGAACAAACAAGAGATGAACGATTCCTGAGGCAAGATCTTGATTGCGTGTCAGGATTGCGGGAATATGGCTTTGAGGAAGCGGAAATCCTTGTATCCCCAGTAAATATTCGTACGTTGTCGGCGTTCGTCGGCAAAACTAGGACTTAGGGGGATTCCTTATACAAAATACGTCTGTGCCAACTTATGCAAAGCGGATTCGACCAACCAGATCTCCCAGATCTTATACAGCAGTTCGGCGGACTTAACCACGGCCTTCGTTTAGGGGATGTCTTCATCTCAGGCACCTAGTAGCATATACGCGTCAAGGTCTGTGGCTATGGTCCGTGTGCGACACCTGAGATGCAGCGTAATACTGCCTGCTTTTTATAAGATCCTATGAGTCTCCTCTGATCCCGACTCCTCACTTTTCGACGCACTTCATCACATGCCATTAGGTGAGCCGCGTGGTGATGGTTATGGATTGATCCAGGCTATCTGAAGCTCGCGGATCACGAGGTGGAACGATGGGGATGCTGGGTCTTTGGTGGGAGAGATGGATGAGTTGGAATGGCGCTTCGCTCGAGGACCACGCTGGAGTACATCTGACTTGAGAGTCTTGATCCACTGTCTTTCACGAAGAAGTCTCGTTAAAGTTTGGCCAGTCCGCCAAGACTCGTGATCCCTGCGCACTACCTTCCTGCCCTGCCTCCTCATCTTCATCGACACCCATCAAACAAGATATCATTAGCTAGTGGCAAGAGCCGGGCGAAACAAAGGCCAAGATTTCTGCTTGCAAAGCATGAGCAGAAAGGTGCATTGCAAAAAGACATCTCCATGGCAAGACGTCCTCTGGCGATGTTTCTCGAGCCAAGAGCTCCTCTGATTGCTTGAGCCCAGAGGGAGTGAACAAGACCTGAACTTGATTTATCTCGAAATCGCGAAAATACGAGCTCCGGATAACCTGCTATCTGACCCCTCAGGCATTCATAACTCTCAGAGAAGAAACAGCAAGCAAAAAGGTCTTTACACAATTTCGCTCTACTGTTTATCAGCAACTCTCTTCAATCAACATTGCCTATTAGACGACATCACATACCAGTGAAGGACTCGAACCTCCATCGTCGACGTTCCGTTTTACTTTTCACACGAGGATTTGTGATCGCTTACATCCTGACCACTGCATTACATTAGCACGTCTCCGAGCACTAAGGACGACTTGACTGTACTGACTTGGGCGAACCGAGCTGGATCAATGGATGATTTCTGGTTGGTGAATGGGGCATGAAATTTGTGACTTATGTATGTTGATTGGATGTTAATCTTCTGTCCGTTGGGAGTTCCCGATGTATAGCTACACTACTTGATCAGTGAAAGGCAGCACGAGAATCTGATGGCGGGTTCATTTACAGGTCAATGTCGGTCTGTAGAGGCACACTGCTCTGGGTTCTGCCAGGTTGACAAGAATCGGTGATCAATCAGCGATCTTTTTTTTTCGAAGAGCTGGCAGAGATAGACATGATGGAGTTCTTGGCGGCCGGTCGACGTGATTTTGACTTTTGATGCTGCTAAACGGAACCTTGTTGGTCCGTTGAAGTGTCGAATGCTTTCGATGTTGCAACACGCCATCTGTGCAATTCTAGAAGCTATTGCCCTCGCAATGACTCCACGTACTACGCCTAGACGCCATTCGACAGCGGCAGCCTTGCGTGCTTGTACTTTCTGCCTCCGCTGCCAGAGTATGAGGCAGCACATTGACCATTACCTGATATCCGATACTCGTGGATAGTCAAGCCTTCAAGGCCGACAGGGCCACGAGCATGTACTTTGTTGGTGCTGATGCCAACCTCTGTACCGAAGCCAAACCTCATACCGTCACAAAACCTTGTTGAGGCGTTCCAGAATTTACAAGCAGCGTCGACTCCGTTACAGAATCGATCGGCGATCTCTTTTGACGATGTCAGAATCGCATCTGTATGATGAGAGCCGTATGTATTAATGTGCTCGACAGCTGCATCCACAGCTTTGGTCGCGTCGTCCGAACTAGCAGGAATTGTTTTGACCGCAAGGATGAGGTCGAGGAATTCTGTTTGATAATCTGCGCCGGTGGCATCCTGCACATGCGATGGGTCCACAGAAGAGACAGCGGCCTTTGATTGTGCATCACAGCGGAGAGTGACGCCTTTCGAGACCAATGCCGATGCGATTGTTGGGAGAATGGTTTGGAGGGCGTCTTCGTGTACCAAAAGGGTTTCTACAGCGTTGCAAGCGGCAGGGTAGTCTGTCTTGGAGTCCACTATGACATCTGCTGCCATTTTTGGGTCGGCGTCTGGGTGGACATAGATCGAACAAAGGCCATCCGCATGGCCAAGGACTGGCATATGTGCCTTTCGCTGGCAATGTCGGACCAGGTCATTCGAGCCTCGTGGGATGCAAAGATCAATGTATTGGCCTTGCTCAAGCAGTGAGTCAATGGCATCGCGGGTAGCCACCAACTGAATGGAGTCATTCGGGACTTCCGTGCTGTCGAGTGCCTTGCCGATGATGGAGGCAATGATCTTGAACGACTCTGTGGATTCTTTGCCGCCCTTTAAGATCGCAGCATTGGCAGATTTGATAGCAAGAGAAGCGATGTTGGCTATGACTTCTGGCCTGGCTTCAAATATGATCAGGAGAACACCGATTGGGCATGTTTGTCGCTGAAGTATCAGTCCGTCATCGAGCTCGGTGCGAAGGTCCACCCTGCCGACTGAGAAAGTCAGCAGGGCTGTTTAGAGAAAGGCTAAGGAGGACATAGGAGAGGTCTTTGAGACAGTATATGGTATCATTGGGCATGACCTACTTGGATCTGGTAGTGACCGAACATCACGAATGCCCTGCAGCATATCGTCAAATTTGCCTTTCCGAGACAAGTCCAGCCGCTTGTATATGCTCGGATTGAGCTGGCCATCGCTGGTCGCAATCGTTGCCTTCTCAAGGTCTACAGCATTCGCCGCCAAAATGTCATCCCGCGCAGCAGAGAGAGCATCGTAAATGGCATCCAAGGCTTTGTTCCTCGCGTCATTGGAGAGCACCGCAAGAGTTCTTGACGACAATTTCGCAGCGCGAGCAGCTTCATCTGGGTTGGCGTTTGTCAAAGACATGGTGGTATATCTGGGCAGTTGTTGCCTCGTTGTTGCGTGGCGGAAGGCAGGACAATTTCAATTGACTCGAAAGGGGAGGTGGGAGGTGGCCGAAGCCGGGTTAAGCTAGCTAGCGAGTAGGGTTCTATCGGCTGACCGGGCCGAGCCAGCAAAATCCCAGTCGGCTTTCCGGCGCTTTTCTTCCCAGCCTCTCCAGCCTCTCACATCATCATCACCGACCACTTCTGCATCGCGCATAGGTAACGAGGCACCTTAGACATCGTCAGAAATGGCTGGGACGACAGCACAGAGCACAGAACCAGCAGAATAAGTATACATTCGAAGGCTAGGTCGTTGACTTTTTTTACCACTCGCACGCAGCCATCCTTCCTCACCTGTACAGCACCCAGAGGACAGGGTGATTGCTGCACTCACTATCAACAACGACAGCATAGATTGCTAGAGCATGTTGACACTATCGCATATCCTCAACATGCGGTCATCGCTGCGCCTGGCAGCAATCGCGACCATCGCTACACTCGCCTTTACAAGCCCAGTCTCCGCACAGACATACTCGACATGCAACCCGACGACGCAATCGGGCTGCCCAGCAGATGCAGCACTCGGCAAATCAATCACTGTCAATTTCGCAGACGGTGCTTCAGACCAATTTACAGCACAAGGCGAGCCCACATACGATTCGAACGGCGTAGCATTCACAGTGGCACAATCTGGCCAGGCGCCAACACTTGTATCAAAATGGTACATCATGTTTGGCAAATACTCAGTGACGATGAAAGCCGCACCTGGCACCGGCATAGTCAGCTCTCTGGTGTTACAATCAGATGATCTTGACGAGATCGATTGGGAGTGGCTGGGCGGTGCCAATGATCAAGTGCAGAGCAATTACTTTGGCAAAGGCGCTTCCACAACCTACGACCGAGCTGCGATTCACAAGGTCAAGAACACGCAGGGCGAATGGCACACATACACTGTCGAGTGGACTGAGAGTCAAATCGTATGGACTATCGATGACTCGACCGTCCGCGTTCTCAATGCCAATGAAGCGAAGGGTCAATACCCACAGACACCCATGCAGCTCAAGCTTGGTTCATGGGCAGGCGGTGATCCGGGCAATTCCGCAGGCACCATCGCGTGGGCAGGCGGTCATGTGGACTACTCTGCCGGTCCATTTTCGATGTACGTGAGCCAAATCGCAATCGTCGACTACTCGACAGGCTCAAAGTACACGTATGGCGACCAGAGCGGCACATGGGAGAGCATCGAATCAGAAGGTGGACAGGTCAATGGAAACTCCGGTGGTAGTGTCACCGTGACAGATGCACCACAGATCACCACGACGACCAGCGGTTACGAAGGATGGAGCGGTACCCACGACACTCACACAGCCACTGTCTCTTACACGACGCTTCCTGGCCTCCCTTCAGGTTGGACTATCAGTGGTTCCGGCAAGGTCGTGCCGCCGTCGGCGGCCCCTGTGAGTAAGCACCATCCCAGTGCTTCATTGAATACTGAACGATATGCTGACAATTCTGCAGAGTCCATCCCTATCGGCTTCGTCCTCGCCCTCGCAACCTGTCTCTGCAGCGGCAGCCTCCTGCACGGGCTCTGGATATAAGGTGGTGACGAGTTACAACCAGCAAGGCTTTATGACTACCGCGACGGTTCCAGCTGCCGCATCAGTTGGCTGGGATGACAAAGGTTTTCCGACCACAGTCTATCCCGCGAATTGCATGGTCTCGAAGCCTGCGATCGCTGCGGGCGAGGTTCTCAAAGTTGTGGCCACAACTCGGACCGGACTGGTGACATTGTCGACGGCCGATTCGACTGCGCTCATCACTGCGCACGTGTCCAAACACAGCGGTGCCTCACGGATGCCTCTGTCGTGGGTCGCGGCATCTTGTACAGCGTTTGTTGCATTAGCGACTGGATTTCTTCTGCTTTGATTCTTGCATAGCGATTGGAACTTCAACGACAGGGTTCGATAATAAACAGGACGAACGAGGGCAAAAGGTTTATAATGATCAGGATTGGGAAGTGGGAAGATGCATAAGACGCCGGGTAGCGCAGCCGGGCTGTGGTTTTGGCATGACGAGAAAAATGTCCATAGAGTCACGAGATACGGATGAATGCTTGCACATTGTCTCCACGATAGGCTCTCGCTTCCGTAGATGTCCATCGTGGTCGACGCTGAGCGCTCGTGACGCCGGCACCCTTGAAATCTGGGGTCATTAGCGGTGTGCGAACATCGTTGACGAACAAGGAGGCGAATAACTTGCTGTCATCATGCACGCCACGCCACGGTGAAAGGTGAAAAGTGAAAAGTCTGCCCCGCAGCCCCGGACGGATCAGCAGGTCCAGTGGTCCACACAGGTGTGTGTAGGCCTAGTCAGGTACCGTAACTGTGCTCAGCAAAGGCCGCGTTTTGCCGTAGACTGTGCATGATTTTTTACCAAATAATTACTTGAGAAGCAGATGGATGTGGCATTGCGTCTTTTAATGCCTACCGAGCGTGCTCAGCAGTTGCTGTGCAGTCGTGACCACGTAGCAGGAAGCCATATCAGGAAGCTATATCAGCCCGTGCTGCCGTCTGATCGTTCCGGAGGGACGAGCGCGCGCGCAAGCAGCCAGGAACCACTGCTTACTCCGATACCAGCAACAGTCAGCGAGGGTAAGTTTCGGAGAGGCTGAGGCTGAGACTGAGACGGGCCATTTGGCGTCCCATGATCCCGTGGACCATAAGCCATAACAAGGCATCAGGCATGAGCTTAGATACCAGAGATGACGGGCAACTGATAAGACCTGCTCTGTGCTCTCTTTGTCGCGCCTACTTGCTTCTCTCTTTGCCGCCTGACAGCGACCTCTGACAATCCTCCACAGATCAAGCGAACTCGACCCGATCCTTCAAAAGCCCTCCCCTCCCCGCTATACAAGATTCAGCTGCTCCGAAAGAGCAGTCTTTCCCGTGCGACGCACACTCGTTTTGATACAATCTCCCCAAGATGGCTTCTCCAGAGGCCAATGGCACCGCCAACGGTGTCGCAAATGGAGTTGCTCCCAAGAACAAGCTCCTAGACCAGGTGGTGCGAACCCCGGGCAGACAGCCTTCGCCGCAGCCTACCCATCTTTCGGTGCCAGGAGCGATCCCCCATCGTGTACTACACGAGAAAGGATCTGGCTATGTCGCTCCCAAATTCGAGGGCAAAGAGCAGCAGATGGAGCAGGTTATGGATGTGGTGGAAGAGAAAGGCTTCATTCCCGCCGATCTCGTAGAGACCGAGACTAAGTGGTTCTACAACGAGCTGGGCATCGACGACATGTACTTTAGCACCGAGACCACCGAGGCGATTGTGAGCCACATCCACTCTCTGTACGCAGCCAAGATCGCTGCATTCGCCAGAGACGACAAGAGGCTCGAAATTCACCTCGACAAGGAGGCCACGGATCATGCAGTCTACATCGATACTAGGTAAGTCAAGACGGAGCGCTCATAAGAGGAATCCGCTAATAAGCGGCAGCGTTCCAGGAATCTCGGCAATCAATGGCTCTGGCTTCGAGCAGAGGATGGAGACCAAGTACCTCGACGGTAGTAGAGGCCTTAACAGCTATCGCATAGAGTCCTTCCGATCGCCCAGCAAGATTCCCGGCGGCAACGATCAAACGCTACGATGCTACTTCGTCTACCAATCCAGCTTCAAGAACAAATCGCCGAAGCCCGATGAGACGCGCGTGGAAGAGCTTGGGGATGAAAGATTCTTGCAGAAGACCACAACCAATACGAGAGAGATCTACCAGAGCGTCATGGATGCTGTCGTCCTTAGAACGGGCCCAGTCATCGACATGTACGATGTAGAGGGAACTCGGGAGAAGCGTCTGGTCGTTGGCTTCAAGCAAGGCTCGGCTTTGGGCATGTTCGCTGCTCTGAGCGACTTGTACCACTACTACGGCTTGACATCAACCAGGAAGTACGTGGAGCAGTTCAGCAACGGCATCACCATCATGTCCATCTACCTGAAGCCCGCACCGAATGTCTCCTCGAAACACCCACCGATTGAGGCCAGCATTCACCAGGTCATGAAGGAGGTGTCATTACTATACTGCATACCGCAGAACAGATTCCAGGTACATTTCAGCAGTGGTCGCTTGTCTCTGCAAGAATCGATCTATGCACACTGCGTTTGGGTCTTCGTTCAGCACTTCTTGAACAGACTTGGCAATGAGTACAATACGCTCAAGTCAGTCCTGGACACAAGCAATAGTGTACACGCAGAGTTGCTGTCGAAACTCAAGAAGCGTCTGCGCACCGAAACCTTCACGGCCGACTACATCCTCGAGATCATCAATCAATATCCGGAACTCGTCAGAGCTCTATACCTGGCCTTTGCAAGCACCCACTACGTGCAAACGAGAGGCGAGCAAGATGATTTCCTGCCTACGCTCTCATACCTGCGATTGAAGGTCGAGCGCGTGCTCAGTGACGACGAACTCAAGGATTTGATTGCCAAGACTGCCATCAACGAGCATCACCTCATGGTCATGACGGCCTTCCGCATCTTCAACAGCTCAGTCCTGAAGACCAACTTCTACACACCCACAAAGGTCGCAATCAGCTTCCGATTGAACCCAAGCTTCCTGCCTGAAGAGGAATACCCACAGCCTCTCTTCGGCATGTTCTTGGTCATTGGATCGGAATTTAGAGGCTTCCATCTTCGATTCCGAGATATCGCGCGTGGTGGCATTCGCATTGTCAAATCTAGGAGCAGAGAAGCGTATGCCATTAATGCCAGGTCTCTGTTTGACGAAAACTACAATCTTGCAAACACTCAGCAACGCAAGAACAAGGACATTCCGGAAGGTGGAAGCAAAGGTGTCGTGCTACTCGACATGGCCCATCAGGAAAGCGCTACTATCGCGTTCGAAAAGTACATTGACAGCATCATGGATCTGCTTCTGCCTCCAACAAGTCCTGGCATCAAGGATCCCATTGTCGACCTACATGGCAAGGAGGAAATCATCTTCATGGGTCCAGATGAGAACACGGCAGATCTTGTCAATTGGGCCACACAGCATGCCAAGGATCGTGGTGCTCCATGGTGGAAGTCGTTCTTCACCGGCAAGTCACCGAAACTCGGTGGCATTCCCCACGACGCCTATGGTATGACGACTTTGTCGGTGCGAGAGTACGTCAAGGGAATCTATCGCAAGCTCAATTTAGACGAGACGCAAGTGCGCAAGCTCCAGACTGGTGGGCCGGATGGCGACCTTGGCTCGAATGAGATCCTGCTGGGCAATGAGAAGTACTGCGCCATCGTGGACGGCTCTGGCGTGCTTGCCGACCCCAACGGACTTGACCGAGCAGAGCTGAGACGTCTCGCAAAGGAGCGCAAGATGATTGTGCACTTCGATGTGTCGAAGCTCTCAAAGCATGGCTACCGCGTGCTTGTCGAGGACAACAACGTCACCCTTCCAACTGGCGAGGTGGTCAACAATGGCACCACTTTCCGAAACACCTTCCACCTGCGCAATCAGGAGCAATTCGACGTGTTCGTGCCTTGCGGGGGTCGGCCAGAATCAATTGACTTCACCAGCGCCAGCAAGCTGATTTCCCAAGGCAAGAGCACCATCCCATACATTGTGGAGGGTGCCAATCTCTTCATCACTCAAGAGGCGAAGTTGCGCCTGGAGAAGGCCGGCTGCGTCGTCTTCAAGGACGCCTCCGCCAACAAGGGTGGTGTGACAAGCTCGTCCTTGGAAGTGCTTGCATCGCTTTCCTTCGACGACGCAGGCTTCTTGGAGAACATGTGCGTGCATGCTGATGGCACTGTGCCGCAGTTCTACCAAGACTATGTGCGTCAAGTGCAGGCAGTAATCCAGCAGAACGCTGCTCTCGAATTCGAGGCCATCTGGCGCGAACACGAGCAGACACGTGTCGCAAGGAGTATCTTGTCTGATCAGCTCAGTCTTGCCATCACGAAGATGGACGAAGAGCTCCAAGGTACAGAGCTGTGGAACAATATCGCTTTGCGGACTAGTGTTCTCCAAGACGCTCTTCCGAACCTGTTGCTGCAGAAGATTGGTCTGGAGAAGATCTTGGAGCGGGTAAGTCGCAGTGGTCCTAAAGCACTGCATCATCTCAATGCTAATCTTTTCGCCGCAGGTTCCGGATTCCTATCTCCGTGCCATCTTCGGTAGCTACTTGGCGAGTCGATTCATCTACACAATGGGCATTTCGGCCTCGCCCGTCAGCTTCTTTGCTTTCATGAACCAGCGCATGGCGAAGGTCAACGGTGTACACTAGAGGAGCTATCATGCATACACAGTGTTTATTTGCGGAAATTAAGGAAAAGCTGTCACGAGGAATGAAAATGGAATGAGGCAAAAAGTTGGCGCTCGAGGCGCATTCCTTGTGGAAGCATTTTGTAAACAAGAACGCACGCGTCAGGCTATGACATAGATTGCAAAACATCGAGTTCGGCTTCGTCACTCTCTTTGCAGTATTGAATACCTCTTCTTCGCGTTACATTTGCCTGTCATCAACAGCTTGCGAAGGTGCATTCAACATCTCGTCAAATTAACGCGAGGCAACTCCTACTGATCAATCGAGCGAGCAGAAATCGTCATCAAGATGGCAAAGACCAGCGGCAAGTCACAGAAGGACCCAGGCTACGATCGTGGAAGGAGCACACGTATTAGAGAGGCAGCCGAGAAAAAGACCGCCGAACTCGCCAAAGAAGCCAAGAAGGCCTCGGAGCGGGCAAACATCTCCAAACCACGCAAGCCTGCTACGAAGAAGACTACGGCCAAGACTGCTGCGAAACCTTCTGGCATCGAGAAGAAGAAGAAGAAAGCTCCAGCCAAGAAGACCACCGCCAAACCCGCGACCAAGAAGCCTGCTGCTCCCAAGAAGACGGCACCAAAAAAGGCAGCGCCAAAGAAGGCAGCACCAAAGAAAGCAGCACCAAAGAAGGCCGCACCAAAGAAAACTTCCTCCGAAAACTCCTCTTCAGGATCCTCTCTGAGCTCAACGACATCATCAAAGGCTTCGGCGAAGAAAGCCTCCCCACCAGCAGCAAAGAAGAACAGCCCAGTCAAAGCCCCGTCGTCGCCAAGGAAGAAGAGTCCCGCTGGCGTGAGCAAGTCGACCCCCTCTCCCAAGAAATCTCCGGCCAAGGCCAAGTCTCCTGCGAAAAGTGCATCGCCAAAGAAGTCTGCCGGTGAGCTCGTCGCGGATGGGGCGGAGTTCTTGAGAAAGAATGTTGCTAATCCTGTTGCGAAGGGCATTGAGAAGACGGCTAGGGAGGTTAAGGAGGCCACTATGTGAGTACAGTGGTTGATGGAGCGTGAGGGTGTGGAGATTTTTTTTTATTTTGGTAGTCGCTATGTGTGGCGTTAGTCTCGTATGTAATGTCTTTGATGAGAGAGAATTCGAATGTTGTGTGTGGTAAAAGTTCATTCCAAGCGTGTCTATTTTTCATGCCGCATCTTTCACATCTTCGACCTGATCAGCATGAGAGGGATTGATCTTTTCCCTCAAATCCGTATTCTCAGCAGCACCTTCAGGTAACGTGTTTGCGATCTTTGGTGGTTGTAAAGGATTGGTGGCTTTGAGGAAGAACTGTAATGACGATTGGTCAGCGCTGCGTGCTTCATCTCAGTCGAATATTATAAACATACCGCATCAACATCTTCCAAAGTCCGATTCTTGGTTTCCGGCAGGAACAAGTAGAACGTCGTGACTGATAGCAGGTTGGTACAGACGTAGACCACGTAGTACTTCCAAGAAATGCTATTGAAGCAATCGGCGTGACTTCCGCGACCAAGAAATTGAAAAGCCAGTTCGAGCATCCCGACATGGCTGTGACCTGAGCACGGATTCTGAGAGGTGCGATTTCCGAGGAATACATGAATGGAATCAAGAAGAGACCGATGGGGAAAGCTGCTAGTGCCAGGAAATAGAAGATCAGAGAACATCCCGCCGCGGTCTTGTTGTCGACATGCGCCTGGAGACCTGCTAGACCTGCGTTGGCGATGCACATCAGGAAAGCGCCGGTGATCAGAAGTCTACGTCGACCGAAACGATCGATGAGGAAGACTGCCGACGTTGCTGCCAGGAATTGCCAGGTCTGGAGACAGCTGGATATGATCCTGGAAAGTACTGCTGAGTAGCCGAGTGTGTGTTCGAGGATGGTATTGGAGTAGAAGGTGATGACGTTCACGCCGCTCATTTGAGCGAGAATGTTGACACCGATTGCGATGAGGGTTCGGTTTAGATGTCGGTTGGGTGTTCTTGCGAATGGATTGCTGGAGTGTCCTTGTCCTGAGAGTTCGATGGAGTTGTGGATCACTCGAAGTCGTTCTGCGACGACTTCTGAGTCTTCGTCCTCGTCTTCGAGCTTTGAGAGGACGACTTTTGCTTCTTCCATTCGATCTTTTGAGACGAGCCAGCGAGGTGATTCTTGGAGCATGGGAACCATGATGAGCACAATTAGTGGAAAGAATGCTTGGAACGCGATAGGGAAACGAAAGCTGACGGGGTTGTTTTTCACGAAATAGAAGCCTGGATCGAAGTCAGCGTGTCTTGTGTATGTAGCTTGCATCTCGTCAATATCTCACCAAATTCCAGCCAACCAACGAACATCACGCCGAAAATGGCAGCAGATCCCTCAATCATGATCAAACTCCCTCTTTGATGAGCTTCAGAGCTCTCACCGACCCATGTTGGGATCGTAGCAGTGAAAGACCCGACGCCAAGACCTGTGACTATCCTGGCTACGATGAGTTGTGCGAGCGAGTATGAGGTTGATTGAAGAATGACGCCAATCAGAACGACCACTGCGCCGGAGAAGGTCGTCCATTTGCGTCCATATTTCTCACCGATGAAGAAGCATGACAAGGCGCCAAAGGCTGCTCCGACTTCGTACAGAGCCACAGCTGTACCTTGTAAAGTCGAGTGTTCGGCTTCGAGCTCCGGCGTCGCGGTGCTAATGGCAGGAAATTGTCGTTCGAATTGAGGTAATGTGAGAAGGCCATTCATAAGAGCCTGGTCATATCCTACAGATATTCAGCTGGATGTAAGAGGACTCCGGCTTCTCGACTCACTTACCTTGAAGAATCCATGCTGCTGCACCTGTCAATGCCAGCGCGTAGCGCAACGATCTGCCACGAAGTCTGAGACCCGCCATATCGCCAATGAGCGCGTCGCCGAGATGGAGGAAAGTGAGCGAGAAAGACAGACGGGAGGAGAGGTGCTTACGCTGGAGACTACTTATGTGCAACTAGAATATATCTCGGACTTAGCGAGGACGCAATACGCGCAACGTCAGTTTCCGTAGCCGCAGCTTGTGGGAAGGTTGAAGGAAGCGCAAGCTGGGGCAAGTATGCAGGCACTACTCGGCGAGTAGCGGATCGGACAAAGGTTGAAAAGTGTAAGCAGCTGTGCGTGCGTCGGACGTATCAGGGCCAGAGAATTCGTGTTGGGGGCTGTTGATCCTTCCTGGACGGAATGCCGCAAAGCGCATACCGTCCTCGGGGCTCCATACCTCAGTGATGACGACGTTGGGTGGGCGGTCTTTGCAGATGCTAGAAGCAATGTGAGGCTTGTGCACATGATGAGGGAAATTGAGAGTTGGCATGCAGAAAAGTCTTGGAAATGGGAAGACTCGGTTCCTGCAGGCTGAATGATGCGGTGCCGAGCTTTGTCAGAGAGAAGGAGTTGGACGTGATGTTGCTGGCGTGAAGTCAAAATGTAAGCGTTTACCAAGCCTCCGGATCCCGGCAGTGGCGGCTCGGCGTTTGACTGGGATATGATCATGAGGACTTCATTGTTCAAGCCATAGCCCACCGAAACCCTCACTTTTGCATGTACCAGTTGTTCCACTCGCTGAAGAGGTCGCTGCTGAGCTTTGATTTCGCATCCGTACGCCATTCCCATGAGAGGTCTCCATACATGGCGAAGATGCGCTTATATGACTCCCCGTCATCCATACTCACCAGCATCTTGGCCAAGAAGAGACTTGAGCGACTGCAAGCTCTTGCGTGAAGCTTGCTGCCTCCCATACGGGCCTCTTCATGGATCGCAGTCAGGACACGAAACAGATCCTCTTCATCATCCACCTCGGGAGTCTCCTTGTTCTTCTTGGCTGTGTCGAAAAGAAGCTCCAATACATCAAGTGCCTTGCGTGCTGTTGGCTGGCTGCTGGTCGTCCGTGTCAACGTGACGAGAGGATGGAGCAAGTCGAGAGCAATCGGGTTTGCATATTGTGATTTCACAAAGACCAGCAGAAGGTCCAGGATTCGATTCTTGAGATTGACGACATTCTCCTTGGCTTCCTTGTTCTGATGTTTTTTGTTGTTGCCCAGCTTTTGTTCTTTGAATATGTGGGTCAGTTTCTCATCAACAGCAGCCATCTCCTCATCGTCCATGTCGGAGCCGTCATCGTCAGATGCCATTCCTTGCGTCCCAAGGGCCTCCGTAAGCTTACGTTCAAACTCAGTAAGCTCGTCATCTCCACTAGCAGCGGCCTCACTGTCGGAGTCGGAGCTTTTGTTGCCAGAATCGTCCTCATTGCCATTTACGAGCTCCACGTCGGAGCCTAGCTCGATATCGGATGCATCCTCAATGTCCTGGACGTCGTCAGAGGCCATCTCTTCGTCGTCGTCTTCGGCGTCGCCTCCGGCACTCGCATCTTGTTCTTCCTCCCCGAAGAGCTCTTGCTGACCAGCCATAGTCTCCTTCTGGGACAGAATATCTATCATCGCTTCGAGGCCTTCTGCTGTGACTTCCGGTGCAAAGGCAGTGAACGTCTGTTCGGCGAGTTTACGAAACAGCGCAGATTGTTGGGACACAAATTTAATCAGGAGTTCCACCAGCATAGTCGACGAATCTTCTGAGTCTTCTGGACTCTGGCAGCATGCGGTGATGTCTTCCAGGACAAGGATGCTGCCTGGTTGCTGCAAGTAGACCTGCAACGTGCCCAAACCAAGCAGCAATTGAAAAGCCAAGGACACGGCCTGTGGATTTTGCCCGTCCATCTTCTCCTCTTCGTCTTTCATACACTTGCGAGCGTCTTTGATGGCCGTCTTGGACTTTTCGTCAAGCTCAATGGCGAGCGACTTGCGGAATGAGTGGAGTCGTCCACAAACCACAAGAGGACCGCGAACAGCTTGCACCAATGGCAAGCTCACGAGATGTCCGAGAGCAGACTGCAGTCGTTCTCGAAATACATTCTGGCTACTTTCCGCGATAGATGGCGATGCTTTCTCGCCCACGTCCACGAAGCCTAGGTCGGTAAGGCTATGCAGAAGTAATTTAAGCCACTGCGCAGTTGTGTTATCCTTATTGAACAGCTGAGCAGGATCGCTTCTGCGTGATCGCACAGTGGTCAAGAGCGCATCCGCTAGGAGACGTCGCTTTTTGTCGGCTTCACCAGGCTCCAAGACCCCTGGTGCCAAAATCAGCTCATTCAGAACCTTCACCACCTGAATTAGATTTTCTTGATCCGCTGATGCAATAAGGCTGTCGATGGTGAGCTTCGTCTGCTTATCCAAGTGAGGAGGGATGACTTCAAGCATTTTGGTGACCATCTCAGCAGCTGCCCAGGGATCGTCCTTGGCCCGTGTTGTCATCTGGTTCAAGGGCACCTTTGCAGCCTCAAACAGGTATCGATCTGGTTTTGCGCGCTGATCTACAATGCATCGGATGATGTTCGTGTGCACAATATCGCCGAGTAATTCAGCAGGCGCCGAAGCAATTGCCTTTGAATAGATCTGAAGGCCAAGGAACTTCCTTTCTGTAGAGGAAGAGGCCGAGAACATTGGCTTCGCTACGCAATCTTCCCAAAATGACTTCAGATCTTTGCCTTCGTTTTTCTCGTACACATGCGCCAGTATCACGTTCCATGCAAAACTTGGCATCGCTTGACGTGTTCCCGACCCAGTTTTCTTCTTCTTGTCTTTGGCATTGTTTGGTGCTGCTCCTTCCTCCACCACAATCGCAGCGTTCTTAAGCAAAACGTTTGTAAGAGTTGTCCTCTCTTGTGCATGTAGTGGATTGCTGTGGTGCCATTGGCCCTTTGGCAATTTAACATCCGGGAATTGCTTCTTCGCGGTGAGCCAGAGTGCCACGCCTTCTGGTGACTTTGAAATGCCTTTTGAACACCAGGATTCGATTAGAGGCTTCACTTGATCTGCCTTCGCCTCTTTGCCTTTGAGGAACTCATGCAGAATGACGCCACACTCGTTGCGTACCCAGTCCTTCTCACAGGCCAGCTCCGCAATCACGCCAAATACTTTCTCGAGATCGTTCTCCGCTGCGTGTCTCAGAAGGCCGCTCTGCAAAACCGCTTGGTATGAATAGACACGGCCCAACAGGTATTCCCTTTTCTTGTCATCTTTGCTTTCAGGAGTTGTAAGGGCATTGATGTGATCGATGACATTGATCACTGGGAGTTTTGTGTTTCCTGTACCAGCCAGTCGAAGGACTTCTGTGAGGGCAAGGGAAAATCCAAGCCTTGATGCTTTGGCGCCACTGCAGACACCTTTGATGAGTCGAGTATTAACATAAGTGAGTCGATCTCTTTGGTCACCCGATTCCGATGACAGAGCCTTCAGCAGTCCGCGCGTAGCTTCAAGTCGGTTCTCCAGGATTGGATCTCCAAGACCATTGAAGTGTGGACTCAGGAGCTTCGCATATTCCGCCTTTGAGTCTCCATTCTCAAGGCGTCGTTTCCGGGACGGATGTATATTAGCATCTTGAGGCTCGTCCTCGTCGAATGGCCGCTTCACGCTTGACATGCTGATCTGTCAATGGGAGTTCGCATGGATGAGATGATCTTGATTACGAACTAATACGAAGATACCTTCTTCAAGCACATACAAAAGTTGCAATCGCGCTTGGAAAATTTAAGTCGCGACGATTGCCAAAAGTCGACGACGTTCCTTGGCAAAATCTGTCATTGCTCTACCACCACATCACCATTGTCTCCTCTCGACACAGCCCATTTAGTATTGGAGAGGCCAGCGATGATTAGGTCTCTCGAGGAAGACATCTCGCAGAGATTACAGCTCTGATAAAGTGTTTCTTAATGCATCTCGCTCGATCTCCGTTCCTTCTATCCTCTTCCCCCGCTCTCCTTTCTTAGCGCTTAGTTTGTTATAAAGTTGTAATTAATAATAATTATATAGAGGAGGAAGGCTAATTACAAAGGTAGGCCGTCGCCCTATTAGTTAGCTAGCCCCTAGACCGTTACTTCCTTATTCCGTAATAGTCTGCCCTAAATAAAAGAAAAGGCACGCCCTCGTACCGTTGCTCTAACTCTCTCGTCTCGTTGCCTAGATGCTAATTATCTAGTAGGCTGTCTACTACTTAGGCTAGTCTCGTTGCCTAGATGCTAATTATCTAGTAGGCCGTCTACTACTTAGGTATAATTCTATTCTTATTTCTACTTATATCTACTTAAAGGCATACTAGTACCTTAGCCTTCCTCTCTGCAAATTCCGCTCGTTTCTTGTTAGCCTTAGCTTCTATAGCTACCTTCTCGCGTTCTAACTAGGCCTAGACTTGCGCTCGTCGCGTTTCCTTCTTAGCTGCTATCTATCGGTTAGTATATCGCTTTATAGATAGGTCGGTTAGGTCGGTCTATACTCCTATATAGCGGTAGAGCACCTATCCTTAGTTGCTTCCGAATTCGGCGCTAAGGTCGTTTATTAGCTAGGTAGCCTTAGTCGTTGCTACTAATAAACCTTCCTCTCTAGGCTTCTATTTAGGCGGGTTTAGATTGTTATTACCTCTATTATTAGTAGCCTTCCTAGTCGCGCGGCGGTTATCTCCCTTTTCGAGTACCTCGAAGTTAGCTAATAATACTCTAGGGTCTATAAGGTCTGCGGAGTGTTCGTTATTAGCGACTATTTACCTTACCCTATACTATTGCCTAATAAACGCAACTCGTACGGCCTTAGGGTCGTAACGTACTATAAACTGTTACTAGATAAGTTCCTATAATAGCTAGTTATACTCGGACTATAGCTTCTTCGTTAAGTTCTTAACCTTCTTAGGTACTCGCTTAGTGCCGTCGTCGGCTATATTTCTCTATATAATTAGGTCGATATTAAGTATCTTATTCGGCGCTAGGTAGAGTATATTAACCTCGATGTCTCGTATTATATCTCTCCGCTCTCTAAGTATCTTGTTACGTTTGTCCTTTTTCTTAGGTAATAGTTTAGCTAGCTCTGCCCTCGAAGTCCGATCCTTAGTAGGCTAAGCTATTAAGGCTCTAGCTAGGGCTCTCTTCTTATCCGACGACGTCGTCTTTATTATAGGCGATTCCTTTAAAGTAATAGGTATCGCCTTCTTAGCCTTCTTCGTTAGCTAAGGAGTTAGAGTTACCTCGTCTTCGTCGATAAGTCGGCCCTTACCCTTATTCTTTCTCTTCTTAGTACTAGATTTCGATAGCGTCTCCTTGTTAGCGTTAAATAGCGTAAACGATAGATAGGCATTAACTAGCGTCTATAAGATAGGTTCTAGGTCGTCGATAGCCTTATTATTTCCCTTATTCTCGTTATTAGAGATAGGTTCCGTTACTAATCCTACCTCGCTTCGGAATTGATCGATTCTCTATTCTACCGTTATATTACTCTCTTACGGTTGCAGTCTCTAAAAAGGGAAGAAGGTATTAGGCTCGTCGGAGTCGGGCTTATTAAGAAGGTTATAGGCGTCGCTCTTACAAGCTAGGCGATAGTCGTTAAGGTCGATGTCTAAGAGGTTATTAAGAGCGCTATTACCTATAGAACTGTCCTTACTATTACCCTCGCTAGCGTTGCCTAGCAAATTAGTAGCGGTAGTGTCGTTAGTAGCGGCTGTCTCGCCGTTAGCCTTAGTAGTATACGCGAGGAGATCGTTAGGTAGTATCGTATTATTAGTATTAGCCTTACTAGTATCGGCGGTCTACGCGAGGAGGTCGTTAGGTAAAGCTATATCGCGTACGTTAGGCATCTCGTATAGTGGCGTTTTCTACTTTATATCGTATTCTATTACTTTACGTAGCTAGAAACGGTATCGAATATCGCGAGAAAGCTCTCGTATTAGCGATAGCTATATGTTCGCAGAAAGTTGTTATTATAGTAAAGTTACTATATTAAAATAAAGTAAACTTAGTATACGCGCAAGCTTAGTATACGCGCTCCTACCTATTGCAGAAGTAAAGCGAACTATATAGAAGCTACGCGAGAGGAAATGTATATAAGATAAGTCTATTATATAATACTCCGTTGCTATCCTAGTAGTAGCGACGATCGTAGGCCTTTACTATCGTTAGTAGAATGCCTTCCGTTCGTACCTACTTATTAGCTCTAGCTCCTACGTTCTTCTATCTAACTAGATATTCTATAACCTCCTTCCTATACCGACCGACTCGTCGGACTCGTTAGTCTCTTAGCGCTTCTATTTCCGGTAGGGCGTCTCCCTATTCGATACGCATCCTTAAGGGTTGCCTCGTTACTCGCTTATACGGATCCTTAGTATTAGAGTACGGCTCGAGTTCCGTAATCGAGACTACTAGGTGTATCTTCTACGTCTTTAGTAGGTTAATCTAGTAGGCTAGTCTAGTGCTTATAACCTTCGTTACCTTATATAGCCCGATTCTTAGAGGTATAAGCTTTCGGTTACTAACTCTAGGGATAGCGTAATTTTTAAGCCGTAAATAGACTATATCGCCTACTATAGGTTTCTAGGCTACGTACTAAAAGTCGTAGCGTTGCTTTATAGCGGCCTATATATAGGCGATGTTGTTCTCTACCTTAGCTCGGTAGACGTCCTATTCCTTTGCTAAATCCGTCGCGCTAGTCGTTACTATTTAGGCTAGTTCCCTAGGGTTGAAACCTATTAACACCTAGTTCGGTAACATACTAGTCGAGGCGTTAATAGAGTTATTAAAAACTAATTATATATACGGTGTCGCGTATTCTAATTCTAAATCCCTATTAGGATATTAGGCAAGGAAGTACCGTAGGGCAATCTCGACGGTCTAGTTCGTTCTCTTAGACTAGCTATTAGCCTATAGGTAATAGGCAGTCGTTATTAGAAGCTTGACGTTTATCCGCTTAAAGATAGCCTTCTATATCTCGGACGTGAATTTCGGGTCTCTATCGGAGATAATTACGGTTAGTAGGCCCTAATTGCATCGGAACAATTCGTCGAGTAGGCGGTTAGCCTAAGCCTCTATAGAGTACGCATCGTTGCTAGTAACTAGGAGTACCTACTTTGTATACTTATCCGTTGCTATAAGTATAGCGTTAGTTTCCTAAGCGGAAAGGGATACTATAAAGTTAATCGTAATCGTATAGAAGGGTACTAGTAGGGATAGTATAGGATTTAAGGACCTATACGGCTTATATCGCTTAGTCTATAACTCTAAGCAGTCCTAATAGTAACTTAGATACTTTTTTAGTCTCTTAGCTAGTTTCTAGATATAGTACTAGTTATTTACTCGGGCATAGGCACGATAAAAACCGATATAGTACTAGTTATCGTATATGCTACTAAAAATGTCGCCCTCTAATATCTTTAGAATACATAGTCGCCGGTCGCTAGAGTGTAGCTTATCGAGCTATACTAGACCCTCGTCGTCGACTAAGAAGCTTATAGAACCTAGTTCCGCGTTCTATACTATTGCCTTAATATTGCTCTAGTATTTATCTTCCTCGTATACTTCGATAAGCTATTGCTTAAATACGTCGTCTATTTCTAGTATTATTACTCCGTATACTAGTTCCTCGAACACGTCGCCCTCCGGGAGATAGTTATCTGTCGTTTCTAGGCGCGATAAGGCGTCCGGTACGATATATTCTCGCCCTAGCTTATAGACTACCTTTAGTAGAAAAAGGGAAAGATATTGCGACGATCTCGTTAGTCGGTTATTAAGCTTATTAACTAATAAGGAAGTTAAGGCAGTCTAGCTTACGATTCCTAGCGTTACCGTATAATCCGTAAGTATAGTTACTACTAACTTGCATACCTCGACTATCTATTATATATATTTAATCGTCTATACTAGGTAGGCGACCTCTAATTCGGTTAGCTAGTACCGTCGCTCTGTACTAGAAAGAGTTTTTAATAAAAACAAAATCAGTTACGTCTTTGTCCTGCTAGGGTTTTTAGTAATAGCGTCGCCCTCGACGTAGGCTACTATTACGCCGAAGCCTCGTTTCTTAGATACGTCGATATAGATATATAGCGGCCGGTGTCTCGCGAAATGATATAGCATCGTTAGCTTAGCAAATGCCTCTTATAGGGCTTAGAACGCCGCTAGTCGTTCCTCTATTTCTTCGATTAGTATCGTTACTATATAATATCGACGTACCTAGCTAGTAGTAGGTACGCCTTTTAATCTCTCGGTCTTTATCTTCTAGAGCGGTTCCGCTAGTTAAGCGTAGTACTTAATATATATTCTTAGCTATCTAGTTAGTCTAAGATAGTACTTTAGGTCCTTTAGCGTTCGTAGGAACTTAAGCTTAGTAATAGCCGCTAATTTGTCGGCTAGTATTGCGGTACCTAAGGCGTCGACTTGTTGCCCTAGTAGCTAGATCGATAGGTACCCGATAAAGGCCTTTTTAGGTGCTATAGTTAGCTAGTAACGGTTTAAGGCATCGAATACCTTATTAAGATAGTATAGATATTCCTCTAGCGTCTTACTATAGATAACGATGTCGTTAATAAAAGCCTTAGCGAATCCGTTAAGTCCTTCCGTTCGTAGGATCCTATCGATCTATTGCTATACGTAGGGCGGCGCGTTCTTATA